GCCCTAGTCATCCCCCCCCAATGTGTACTCTCCCAACCCTGCCCCAGCGCACACAGCGCCCTTGAACAAGGCTGAAGGACCACCTGTGTGAAAGAGGAGACCCTCTCTGTTATGTCTCTGCTAGGGAATGAAATAACATGGAATCCAGCTCTGCAAATAACTCACAGTGAAGATCATTTTCCACATGCTGGTTGACAAAAGGTAAAATAAGAACAGATGATATCCCCTCTCTCTCTGGATGTTTGTAGCTCTGCTCTGCGGCTTATGCTTCGCAGCCTTTCTTTACACTTACAGTTGTCCAGCTCTGCGTGCAGGCAGACGGGAGGTCCTGACCCCTTTAGCGGCCTCGTTAGCTGAGCAGTATGCGATATGAGGCCTCAGTCTTATACTGAGTCAGCCTTTTTTTTTTTTAAATGCCCTCACTGGGGTAAAGTTGAGAGGGTTTTGAAGAATCTGATCCTAGATCTGTGTGCCATCATAAGAAGCTGGAGGTCTTCTTCTAAACTGAGCATCCGTCAGAGGAAAGAGGCTCCACTGTGACTCTGGCCAAGACGTAGTCCAGCACGCAACCTCCTGTGAACCCTGTGTTATTTTGAAACTCAGGTTTTTGTAGCGATCAAGCAAACAAGACATAACATGGTAGGAACTGAGGCGATGGTGGGGGAAATGGAGCCTGCAGATCTGTTTCTTCTTGTTTCCAGTCTTCATGTTAAGCCAGGGCTGACTCTAGCTGTTTTGATGCCCTAGGCAAGATCAGAAAGCAGTGGCCCCCAACAGCTGTAATGAGCTCATATCAGAACCTGAAGATGTCTGCTGCATAACAAACGATCGGACTGTAAGATTGGCATTCTGCGTGTGGATCATACAGCTGCAGGTAACCAAAGAAGCTGCAGGTATTTAATAAGCTCAGAAGAAAGACTCCTACAAACAGCAGAAAGCAACAAGTGCTACTGTTGCGATTAAAATTATATTCACAATCTAGTGATTCTTACCTCCATATTCTTCTGTCTTCCTCCCCTTTCTCTCTCCTTTTTTTGCGCCACTTTCAGCGCCTTGTGTTTCTGATCATTTTAAAACCTTTCATGAGTCATTTCGCAGATGTGATTCAAAGGCGGGATTAGACGCAGACATGGAGGACAGCGCACGTGCTATCAGGAACTGGTTTCGCGTATCACATCACGATAGCAGGCAGTGTTTACTCATGTTGTGCACATGAGACTGACGGTTCAAAAAGCGCACTAGATTTATTATTGTAAATAAAAATCTACTTTTGTTGATGATGTTGTTACTGATCTCTTGGCCTTTCAGATCCTAGGCAACCAGACCGGCTCTGTGCTAAGCTAAGCAGCTGCTTGATTCTGTTTACTGTGAGACCTGCTTTAGTGTTCCCACCTAAATCTGGGCATGAAAGTGTATCTTGTGTATCATAAGAAAAACTTTAAACTTCAATAATGACTCTGACAAGCATCTCCGGAGAGATTCATAATCAAATTAAGCACACCTCAGTCTGTGCATTTCTTTTCCTCGCAGGCCTTTGTTCACCTCTTGGAGGAGGACACATAAGAAGTTGCTCTAATCCAAATAAACAGGTGAGGTGCTTATTAGCCCCCCTGTTCCCAGTGCAAGTGTAACTTCATTTTCAATTCTGACTCTCTCTCTCTCTCTCTCTGTGACTCATGGGAGAGCAACTTCAAAGCTGTAGCTTAATGCACTTGAGGTCATTATCTTCATTTCTATATCCTCTGCAGGTTCTCAGCATATGGGAACATTTTGACTCTGGATTTTTTTTTCATCTGCAGCCATAAATCTGCCATGTCAACTATAAAATATGGCAGACCAGCAACAGATGTAGCTCTAATAGCTACCAAAAAAGAAAAAAAAGTAGAAGAAATCAAAATTTACCACCACTACATTTTTATTCTAACATAGATTGATTTCAGTTTTGCACAGAGGTGATGGACACCGAGCGAAAATCAGAGGAGGCCCGTGGGGAGGGAGGAAAAGTGTGTTTCCTTTTAATGTTCTGTTATTCTTGCTCAGTCACTTTCTTTCTCCTCTTCCCCCTTTTCTTTAATCCTTCTCCTTCCACCCTTTTAGCTGAGACCAATTCTCCTTTCATCCTCCTCGGCAGCGAGGGCCCTGGTGTCTGTTCACACAAAGCCTGCCCATCAGTGACTCCTCATCAACCCCTTTTTGCCCAATTCATCAAGCAGAGGCCCATGGGCATTTATCACCCCTACCACCTTTCATATCCTGCACCAGCTGAAAGCCACTGTCCCTCCTCTGACTTCAATGCAGCTGTGACACACCCCTAAGATTTATGGAGGCATAATTAGTAGCAGTGAAAAAGACTTGCATGCTTTGGAAGGTCAATCATACTGTATCCCACTCCGAGAAACTCTCAAAGCCGCTAACATCTGCTTCAAAATAGATTGCGCCAGTGCCACAAAAGCTGATAAATTAGCCCCAAAAAACAAGAAGCCAAGAGATCCATCTAAAGCCTGACAGTGACATCAAAACAATCATACACACTTTGGGTGATTTTAACACGCTGTTCGTCACTGTTCATTGGAAGTGAGACACTGTCATAAATCCCCTTTCTCTACAGGGAAGCTGCTGCTGCTGCCTGTGATGAGCAGCTCTGAGGTGAGAACTCCCCCTCAGGACGGGGGTTTCTGAAAGCAGCTTGAGGGAGGTCTAAAACAACACACCTTAATAGTTAAATGATGTTATTCATGTAATCACTCCCCTCTCCTTCCCTCTAAACCCATCCTGCTGTCACTGATATCTCAAGAACAGTGAACTAATTAAAACGCTCCCGGAGTTTAGTTTTGATCTTCGAACAGGAATACAGTCTTCACCAAACAGCTTTGTCCCCCCCCCCTTGCACAGCTACACGTTAGGACCTGTAGTGCCATTGTGCCCAGGAGAGATACAAAAATCCCCATTCAGAGCCATAAATTACACCTATTATTCATTAGTCTTGCTGTAACTTTCTCTGTGTTCTTTTTCACGGGCACGATGGCAAACATCAAATATTGTGCTCCTCTTGATTTATTTGACAGCTGTAGTTAGTTGCTTTTCAGATTGTTATTTTACATCTAAAACATGCGACTGTCTTTAAGACTAATTTAACTGAAGCTGAAGAATGCACAGTCTTGGCCAGGCACAGCCTAGAGGAACTTAGAGCAATAATTTAATACATTTTCTACTACTTCTACTACTCTGACATCTAACAGCTTCTGACTATTGCTACTTTTAGTTTATTAAGTAAGAAGCAGAAATATTTCCTCCCCGTGAATGGCTATCTGTCGTGTTTGGTCCTTACTCTCTTGATGTATTTAGATGTTTTCTGTGCTGCTAAAGTGACTGTTTAAGACTCTGCACCAGTCACATTTAATGCTACATGTCATCAGCATTTGGATTTTCCTTCTTTCTTTTTTTTTTTTTACACCCCCCTCCACCCCACCCCTTCCTTGCCAGTAGTAGAAGTGGTTAAGATCCTGGTTTCGCTGGAGCACGCTGCAAACGTTGTGCAGAGGGGCAAGGAAGCACCTGCTTCCAAGAGGAGGTGGAGAAAATGCTCTCGTGAAAAGCTCCAACTGCAGTGGTTGGCACTGAAACTTGTGCGGGAGGTTGGATTACTCCGAAAGTATGCACAGGTTATTTTGATAATCTTGTGTGTGTGTGTGTGTGTGTGTGTGTGTGTGTGTGTGTGTGTGTGTGTGTGTGTGTGTGTGTGTGTGTAGGGTGGGATGGGATGGGGGGTGAATGTTTCTTTGCGGTTTTCCTTTGTGGCTTCCAGGAGTCTGTGGTGTGACTCAAAACCCAGTCAGTGTACATTATGGATTGCCTTTGTGGTGAAGTAGTTCTCACAACTTATGGTGCATTTTCGGCTTTACGCCAGCTGTCATTTGTCTTTTGGCCATGGTGATCTTTGATTCCACACCACAAACTTTTACCAGACTTTCCTGCCCTGAAACAAGCGGTGCGGTTTTATCCGAAAGCCACGGAGCGCAAAACGGGGGAACTACGCGAAGAAGATACTTCTTGACCAGGATTTATTTGATCGGAGGATCAGATACGGCTCTCTGAAAGGGCAGAGACACGCACGCACGGACAGCGGCACCATCACAAGTAGAGAGAAAGAAGAAAAAAAAGTTGGACTGAAAGTGCACATTAAGTAAAGCAAACTGATGCGCGTAAGAAGGGATGCCAGCCAGGCGTGGCTTGTGTCTGAATATCCAATGTGAGAATGCGTAGGGAGCATGTATATAATAGAGTCTTTCTATTTGATAAACACAGATATCAAACTCATGATTGCAGCAAAGCACCATCAATAAACTGAGAGGACTGCGCTGATTTGGAGGAGCAACGGCGCGCTGTGTGGTACGCTTTTTGGCGTGCATGGACCGGACTTCTGTGAACTTTTCTCTCCTTCCTGAATTTATCGACTACATCCCAAAATACCTTCGTTTAATTTGACAGCTGTGCACACAATGGCAGAGGTCGTGAGTGTTCTGGGGACGCTCGGCTTGGATTTACAAAGCACTCTCTCTTCGGTGGGGACTATGCCCGTAACAGAGTCCCCCATAGGGCTGAATGAGCGACTGGGGCAGATTGAAGGCAGAGTGCAGCGCGGGTCGCCCACAGATTTCGGCCACCTCAAAGGGATCTTGAGGCGGCGGCAGCTCTACTGCAGGACCGGCTTTCAGCTAGAGATATTCCCCAATGGCACAGTGCACGGGACAAGACAGGACCACAGCAGGTTTGGTCAGTATTTCTTTATTCTTTGATCTATTATTTGGAGACAGAATTTTATTTTAATCTTTACCGAACTATTTTAAATACCTCATTTATCTCCAAAACTGTAAATGAGAAAGGGGTAAACTTTCCCCCATACATATATACCCGGTTAAGAAGGGGTTTTATCAAGAAGTTTCTTCTGAGCGTCTCCGGTGAATACTTGTTCGTGCGTCACTGTCACCTGGCGCGAGGGCACACACCTTTTTCTGGCAATCCCCGCTGCGCGTGGGCCACAGGTGTCTCTAATCAGGCGCAAACAAGCAGCGAGCGCGCGCGTCCTACAGCTACAGCAACAACAGGCTCGCAGGCTCTCGCGCGCGCAGGTCAGAGGGTTTTCTCTCGTTAACAGACGTTATTTCACAGCAGGAAGCACAGGTATGTATATAATATCATTAAAAAAAATAACAGTACTTGATTTAATTTTAGTCTCGTGGCCTGTTTTTATTATGTTTGTATTAACTTTACAAATAGAAGGTTGAAAAACTGTGTGCGGCTCGCGCGACACGCGAATCAAACGAGGTCAGAGGGCAGACTCGCACATGTCCCGCGCAGACTCGTCACAGGTGCAGGCCGGGCGAAAACGGGTAAGGGGAAAAAGGCGGAATATCTCTAAATTAAAGCGTGACCACTGCGGAATTCAGAGAAGGTTTACTGTTCAAACGTGAGCCAAAACGAGCCGGTTTTAGAGACATGGGTGGTCCGCGTGTGCAAAGTGCAAAGGTCTTTGTGAGACCTGCGTGGTTTTGATTAGAGGGGTATGGGACACACCCCTCTTCAAAAAATAAAATAAAATAAATAAATGAGAAGGATCGTCTCTGTCATCCTCTGGTATGGGATGATGAGATGGGGACCAGGTGGCTGTAAGCTGGCCTCTCTGCCAGTCAGCACAGGCAGCTGGATCCTCTCTGACTAACCTCCGCATCAACAGTGGCTTTTAATTTTACCAGTTGTTTCCCAGCCTTTGATGTAGATGTTCGCTTTATTGTAACTTCCTCCGAGTCAGCGGTTCACTAAACAAGTAACCCACGTCTCAGCTTCATAAAAGCGACTTCACAGCCTGCGGGGGAAGTCCCAAAGACAGGATGAGCGCATTTATAAGCTATTAAAAATCTCATAGGTAGAAGGAGAGGCAGCCCTTCGATTGCTTAATGGCCTTAAAACGGCAAATTTTCAAATGAAGTCTGGAATAGCTGCAGGATTTTGCATAAAATGACAGTAAGGACTGGTCTGCAGTCAGATTAAAAGAGGCCACCTGCTTGCGTTCTTTAGGGGTGATCACACTGAGTTTGTGGGCTTGTCTCACCAGTGTTTCAATGTTATGTGTTTGACCTCAGGTATCCTGGAGTTCATAAGTATAGCAGTAGGTCTGGTGAGCATCAGAGGGGTGGACGCTGGACTCTACCTCGGCATGAATGAGAAAGGAGAGCTCTATGGGTCGGTGAGTCAAAAACCCCTCCTTTCACTTCACCACCCCTCACCGACAACTTCTCTTAAAGAATATACTATCGTCTAGTCATTCCCAAGGACTTAAACTTTCCTTCATTCATGTGTCTTTCTTTTTTTCTACAACACATGTCAGTACAGAGCTATCAAAACGTTTAACAAGGTTCCCATATGCAGCAGATGGGCAAAAGCACAGTCAGACAAAACAAGTATGTTTCCTATTACTTATACTTGTTTTCTGTGTGAGGGGAGTCGAGGATAATCAGTTTTCAGAGCAAAAACCGACCACTTCATTTCGTTTTGAGATATGCGGAAATATTTACATATTTTCCCAAAGTGGAGACGGGAAGGGCTGACGTTACTCTGAATGTGAGCTGTGTGTGAATTTGGTGGAGATTGCACCTCCCTGCTCTTGAGTTTGACCTGCAGTGCTGTAAAAAACATAGAACAGAGATCTGGTAGTTTTTCCAACAGCCTCTCTTTCCGACCGACACATGGTGCATACCTGCAGTCACAGGGAGAGGAAAGGGAAGAGATGAAGACAATGAAGGGGAAGTATGTGAGGCTTTACCTGTATCAGGTGTCCCAGGGCATTACCTGAGGGGCCTCTCAGGGCTTAGACTACCCCGCACCTCCCCCGAGCATTTCGAACAGAGGCTACTTTTAAGCACGGCCATTATGTAGAAAGTGCAGATATTGTTACTGCATACTATCAGAGTCTGGCTCCCATCCTGGAGCTTTGACCCGGGGTGGTGGTGGGAGGCGGTGATTTGGGGGTAATTGCACACCTGACTGAGTCACCTGACTGACAGAGGGAGCCATGTAGACATGTCTGAGTCTGAGGGGCCAGGGAGGGGAGGATAGCGGGTAAAAGGGTGCTTCCGTCCAACAACCACCAGACCATGACGAGCGTTTGATCCGATGAGGTTTGCGTGTGTGTGTCTGAGAGAGGATGTGCACACCTGTGTGTGTGTATTAGGATGGAGCTGGCCCAGTCATGTGCCCTCTGGGCTGTGTTTACAGACAACAGCTTCACCACACAGCCGCAGCCAAGCAGAGCCTGACAGCCAATCAACAAAATTGCTTCTGGAATAAAACACGGCAGTCTCGCACAGAGGCTCTGAGTGTGTTAAAGGCAGAGAATGAGAAATATTTCATGTTCTGTAGATGTCTTTTCTACCAAAAAACATGAAAAAGGAAAAAGAGCAAGCAAACATTAAGAAGTGGTCCTCCGCTGAAACCCTTTTACTTGACAGGGTTCGACCCTCTTTACAGACCAGCAGAGGCTGACTGGTCTTGGCAGGAAAGCAGCTCAAACACTGATGTCTCTTATTGTTCCCACCCATCACCCAGCCAGCATGCTCTCACCTGCTGAACCCACAGCCATCGCTCATGCTGTTCTGTCAGTGAAGGCTGAGGCTTTGAAAGCTGCTCTGTATATGTGTGTGTGCATGTTTGGTTCAGAGGTGGGGGTGGAAGACGTCCGCTTGTCGTTGCATCACAGGGAGGGGAATAGTTCTCCATGCACAACGAGAGGTTAACAGGTCTGCGGAGCGTAAAGTGAAAATCCGCTTCCACTTCCCTCCTTTTGTCATAATGAGCACCTGCCTAAATGAGTTTCCACTGGTTCATTTCCACTTCTAAGTGCACAGTGTACAATAGTTAATGACAGACGTAAGCTGGTGCATCAAGAGGAGAGGAATCTGCATGCGAAGCTCAGTCTTGACTGCATTTTCTGCAAATGTTTTCTGCATTTTCAAACCTGTTGTTTCCTCTCCTGCAGAAGAAGCTGACAAAAGAATGTGTGTTCAGGGAGCAGTTTGAGGAGAACTGGTACAACACCTACGCTTCAACTCGGTACAGGCACACGGACACGGGGCGCTTCTACTATGTGGCTTTAAACAAAGATGGTTCGCCCAGGGAGGGCGGCAGGACTAAAAAACACCAGAAGCTCACCCACTTCTTACCCAGACCAGTGGAGATTGAAAAGATCCCTCAGGAATTCAGGGATTTATTCCAGTACAGGTGACCAGTGCTTACACTGGGAGAGCTGGTTGTTTCTGAAGGAACAGAGATAAAAGAAAAAGACAAAAATGAGGGGGCGGGGGAGGGATATTGTGGATATTTTGGACCTGGTACAGAACTGTTTACCTTCACCCCCCCCACCCCACCCAAGGTTACCATGTTTGCATCATCTGCGGCGGACTTCAGAGAGGAGATAAAACTCTCTTATAAAACCACTGCTATCATGGACAAAGGAGGCCCTCATGACTGCCCAGCTGTGGCTGAATCAGGAAAATCAAATCAGGTGCCATGTTTTCTCTATAAATGCATAACAGAGATTCATGTGTAGATACTGAAGAGGCAAAATGGGAGTGGTCGCTCTTGATGGTTTTGGCCGGGACAAGGAACAGTCAACGAGAAGTGACTTTTAGGAGCTAAGGACATAAATCCCTGCATGATGTCACAGTGTGCACACTGTTATGGCAACATTAAATGTAAAGGAGAGGGAAGGAAAGCACATTCCACATATACAGCAGAGACGTGCAAACTTTGTGCTACATGTTTGTTAAGCGGTAGTTTGGGATATGTGACGAGATTGTCTTTGAGTTAGCTACGAGCAAGTTTTGTTTCAAATAAAAGACAAAGGATGGGAATAATGTCTCTGACTCTGGGATCAATCGAACTGCACTTACTGCACATCCCAAGTCTCAGCGTCATGCTCGGTTGGTCCGAGTTTAAACATCAGATTAAATTCAAACAAACACAAAAAAGCTACGGGAATTTAATATGCAAAAAACAAAAGCAGTTAAGCTCGGGCTAAAAGCACTTCTCCGACTGGGGTTGTGAAGACTAAAGAAATGGGTGTTCTTTTTAAGGATGATGACTTGTAATGTTCAGAGCATCGGGGAACATTATTAAAAATGCAAGCAGCTGAGGTGTACATATGGGTGTTCCTATTTATGAGATGTACAATATATTTATTTTCTACATATAAAGTATAAATGTAAATCTATATATTTATTTATTGCAAAGACTTTATTTTGTAATGAACTTGAAGTTATCTGGACTGCAGATTCTACTGAATTGACACCAAAAAAAGCAAACAAAAAATGAAGAACTGCAATGAAACGTGACAATAAAATTGTCCTGCTATCGAGACGTCATTGTGAGAGACCATTTTTGCTTGCATTAAAGTCTGTACCAATTAAAACCAGATATATGTGAATCCTGCATGTCTTTCCTGTTATTTCAACCTATTGTGGCAAAATATTTCACTTTTAGATGCTTCTATCACTTTAACATATTTTCACTGACATTAATGCCAAGAGAGAAGGAATACAAGGTAAAAAAAAATTAAATTAAAAAAAAAAGTCAGATTCTTTCCCATACCAATTTGCTCTCGTAAACCCCTTACCAAGTGAAGGGTTACATTATCAAGTAATGTGTACAGGCTCTCTCTGTCTCCATGAGGTCTTAGCCAGCCTACATCCACCATACAAAATCAGATTCCTTATGCAACCGGATCCCTAATTGGCTTTACACATCAGCGTGGATTAAGAGCAGTGATTGGTCGTTCACTGCAGGGGCCTCACGGTCTGGCCCTACAGCGGGTCTTTTCAACGGACAGAAACAGCTGCATGCAGTGCGCAGAGAACCAGCGGGGATGTGCTGCAGACCTGGAGTGGTGGTTCTGGAGTTAAGTGAGGATGGGATCAACATTTCAACATCTGCAATAGTTGTAATGTTTCTCCACTGGCAGATATCTGTAAGCTGGGAGAGCAAGCTCCCCTGGGGGGGAGGGAATGGAAAAGTCAAAGACATGCAGGGGGAAAACCCTGGCAGGCTGAGAAATGAAAACAATACCAGCAGAGGGGAAAAATAGATGAAAGATTGAAGGGAGAAGAGAGTGGGACAAAAGGCACTTTGCTGTGGGTGTGAAATACAGGGACGCTGCATCAGGATGAATCAGCGTCCCAGCTGTTAAAGGAATAGCCGTAAATTTTGGGAAATGATTTGCTCTCTTGCCAAGAATAAGTTAAGAAAACGAATACCGCTCTCATATCTGTCATAAATAGGAAGCTGAAGCCAGGAGGCAGTTCATTTAGTTTAGCATAAAGCCTGAAAATTTGCCTCGTAGTAAGTTGACGTCATACACCATATTCAACCTTATAGCCCCACCATCACCTTTATAGTGTTTTTGCTATGATAACCTAAAGTAAGTAGCTGCTGACTGGAGCTTCAGATTTACACTACTGTGCAAAAGTCTTGAGCCACACCTCAGTTCAAGGAGCTAGACCACTTTGTATTTTTCTCTGGTCTTGAGTAATAGTTCTCCAGGTTTTTTGAAGGTCTTTTAAAGTTCTTCTTTGGCGTATTATTGGCTTTTTTTTTTTTTTTTTTCCCCATTTGAAGCCGTTCTTAAGATTGCCAAATTACACAAGAATTTGACTGGAAACCAGTGGCAGCTGATTTTTATGGAAGGACAATTCAAATTTGAAATGTTCAGTTCAAATTGCTGTCAATATGTATGAAAGAACAACAGCGAGTGTCTCCACAGTGGAGGCTTTGTCATGGTTTGGGGCTGCATTTGACAATGCAGCAAAAGCACACCCGGATTACAAAACACAGTGAAACACTATCAGTCATGGATTGGCCTCCCCAGAGCCCAGACCTCAACATTATTGAAGCAGTTTGGTCTCACTTTGCAGAGAAGGGAACAAAAGACAGCCAGCAGTAAAAGAAGAGCTTTGAATGTCCTTCAAGCAGCCTGGAGAACTATTCCTGAAGGTGACTTAAAGAATATACAAGAAAACTGCCTGAGAGTGCTCAGGCTGTGTTAATGAATAAAGGTGTTTATAACAAACACACCTTGTTAAATAAACCTTGTTAGAACTGTACAAACTGCTTTGCCTCATTTTTCTTTTATCTCTTTTACCCATTTCCAAATCAAATATAAAGAAATGGCAGGTGGCTTGAGACTTTTTGCACAGTACTCCAACACAGACAAATGTAAGTGGTAACAATTCTGTAACACTTGGCAAGAAAGCAAATATGCACGGTTCACAAAAATGTAATCAAAATCATTTCCTGCCTATTAGTTGTGCATTTGTTTCATGTGTATTATTCCCCATCAGTCTCCACCCAAACTCTGTCTAATAAGGCATAACATGCAACGATCATCAAGGTGGAGCTAATCAGAGAGAACAAATGTGCAACCAGCATTCCTCTTTGTAAACTCAGCAAGGTGAATCAGTGGCAAGTACTTCAATCCCTTTAATAAAAAATAAAAATAAAAAAAGACTCCAACACATGCACCGGTTATACTTTTGGTCACTTTATTAAATGTTATATTAAATACTTATCAAGATAATAGCAGATCAGATTCATGGCAAATCATGTTGGTGTATTTGCTAACGTAAGAACATTCTTAGACAAGGGCAAAAAACGTTTTCTACATTTATGAAATACACCTTGTGCAAACACAGGAGTCAATTGGAGACGGCAAGTCGTCTCTCCGTGAGAAACGTTCATATTCCTCATGTTCAACAGCTACACCAGTTTAAGCATTTAGAAGCATGAATGTGCCAAAGTAGAATACAAGTAGTCTGGGGGCCTGCCTGGTGAGACTACAGTGTCCAGGAGAGCATTTCTCACAAAGCAGAGGACACAAATCAGCCAGGTATAATAAGATTTCCAGCCTTTACTCTGTCAATCCCATCTGGAAACGCATATTTCAAACGCTGAAAGACACTGAAAGGTAAAAGTTCTGGGCCCTCTGTGACACCTGGCTGAACCGCCTCCGCTTTGCGAGACCCGGCCTCTCACCCAGGCTCGGGGATCAACACAAGTGGAGCGTAATGAACGAGACGCACGGTGCTATGCTAGACGACACGTGACAATGAGGATGACGTTACAAAAGGGTCATAGGAACTGGCAGGCAGTTTCTGAACAACACAAGCATTCCGTTACAATGTTCAGCGACAACTAATGTAAACACTTAAAAGCATAATAGAAAAGATTCTCAACAAACCTCAAATCTTTACAGAGCTTTTTTTGTTTTGTTTTTTTAGCAAATCAATAAGGCCATATTTTTTTTTCCCCCCAGTACCCCCCCCCCTTTTATCAGTTTCTCCCATCTTCCAAAAAAAAAGAAAGAAATAAAAAGCAGGACTTGCAGCACCAACAGCTGTCTGCTTTGCTAGATAAAGGTGGAGGAATCTACTGGAGTTCATCGTCGCTTAGCGCTTTGCATCAGAGTCCTGTCACCAACAATACTGGTCCCACTCAGGTGTAGTTAGTTAGGCATTTAAAACAGTATAAAAAAAACTGAGCTGGAAATAATAAGGAAACCCTTTTTTTAAAAAGGGCAAATCAATACAATGCCTCAAAGCATTGGGGGTAAAACTTTAAATACATAAAAAATGAAGATATAGAACTTGAATAACATTAAGGCGGTATATACATTTTTTTTCCCCCTCTCCTAACAGACATTTCACACAGTCATTTATACATTACATCCTCTCAGTGAGTTACAGAATAAAGCACTGAGAGTCTCTCTCACTTGAGGCTCCAGTGGACAGCAGTCCAGTCTCAGTCTCTCACCGACCCTCTGGCTCGTTGCATCTGTGTGTTTTGAGCTTTTTTTTCTTTTCTTTTCTTTTTTTTTTTTTTGGGGGGGGGGAGAGAAGAGACCTACAGGCCCTTGGAGGGGCCAGGATTTTTGCCCATACCCTGATGGCCGCCCAGGCCGTGGAGCTGCTGGTAAAGAGTGAGCAGGTCCATCTGACTGAGCCCGCCGGCTCCCATCATGCCATTCTGCAGGGCCAGCTGGTTTAGGTAGCTGGCCTGATTGGCCATGGCCAGCTGCTGCTCCTGCACCTTCCTGTTGGTAATCAGCTTCTGCACGTACATCATCAACTGAAACACACAGACATTGAAAATTAACACAATTCAAAGGTAAAAAGTACACTTTGCCCTGTCACGGTTTAACACAATGACAACAATTATAGGAAGTAGTGAGGGTGGCGGTCCCTTATCCTCGTTAACACCCAGCTCAACAGCTGACATCAGAGGTCACATATAGTGGTGTCTCTGAGCTGTAGTCAAGGCTGAATCAGAGCTTTTAAGAGGTCAAACCGCCTCATGCTTTCACAGACAGACAGTAAACAGAGATACTACTCCCACGATAACCTTTTTTCTTGGCTGGTGCAGGTAAACCGTGCTTCACAAAATGTTGTGATGCACAGTGATATTATTGCCAGTTTTTGGCCTTTTGACTGTTTGGTCATAATGGATTCATTTACAAATTACCCTGTTTAACCACCATCGATAAACTAATGAAATTAAACTACTGTGATGATTTATTGGCGTCATTCAGTTGTCTGTTCTGTCTCGTATACAGAGTGGCTCTTACCGACTGCTGCCTGTTGAGGACATCTCTGTAGATCGCTTCCCTGCGTTTAAGCTCTAGCTCCACGGTGGCCTGTCGCCCCAGAGCGACAGCCTGGACCTGGTTCTCCGTAAGCGCTGGGTTCTCTTTCCACTGTGGTGAGAGGCAACAGTCATTAAAACATACAGTGATCCCTACAGATCTGTAAATGGAAAGTGATTTCAAAGACCTTACCACTCTGCTGATTATATCTTCCAGCGACTCCCGTGATAAAGACTTCAAAGCATTTGTAGCCTCGATGACTTTCTGTCGGCCCTGGTTTATGAGTTCCTGAGCAAAAACAAAACAAGGCAGAGAGAAAACACATGAGACGAAGGCAGGTGATCTTTGCTTGTATTCACTGTGTCGAGTACTTGGTGCCAAACAATAGAGCAATATATTCAGCTGCTTCTTCAGTGAGCCTCTCTCTTCCATCACAACTCCCCCAGAATGTTAGTTAGTGTTAGTCCTTCCCTTTCAGCCATGATAGCACCAGTTCTCCACCTGCTCAGGAGCAGACCTCACAGCAAAGACCAACACAGCCTCTTCAACCTCAGGATAACAGAGTGAATGTAGACGCAGCTTAATAAAAATAACATCACCACTATGACTGATCAGCCTGCCTTTGGGGAAACAAGACAGGAAACCTCTGAGCTAGTTGGCTAATAGCAGAAGAACTTCAAAATAAAAGCAGGGACTCTCCCAAACAGATGGCAAAGTGAACAAAACATTTAAAAGATGCCAGATATTGTATCCTATGTATGGTAATCTTCAAAATACGTAACGTCAAAAGGTGAATCATCTCCATCTGTGCAGCTCCACAGAAATTCTTCTAGCTTATTATTTGTATTTACAGCCCGCACATTTACTGTAATGTTGAGTCTCACCACTTCCAGCAACAACCAACAAAAAAAGAAAAAAGCTGTAACTGATTAGCTGTGCCCAGGACCGCACAGCAGACAAATAAAAGTTTGCGACTGTCTAATACAACAGTGAAAACCAAAAGTAGTCTAAATATTAGAGTTTCATTAATCGGATGACCTGATGCATGATACTGTGTGTGCCGGATATGAAAGCATGTGTCAGCAAAATCACTTTTGACCTCCAAAACCTGCTTTGCAGAGTCTACTGCTTCCCGCTTACATAATGTCTCATATGTGATTATTTAATTTATAAAGACAGTGTATAGTAGTTTAAATTTTATTTCCATAAAAAAACAAAAAGTTCTGTTCACTCCATCAGTTGTTGTGCATTAATAGCTGCAGACGTTGAGCAGCGTGGGGCAGAGTTGGGCTGATCTGCTACCAGGACTGCTGTCACAATTAGCTGTGGGGTTTGAGGAATGTGAGTCGCCATGCTGCGGGGGGAAGGAGCGGGACGGGTGTGAGGCAGCAGTGGTGACATGTGGAGCTCATTACTTACCTCCAGCTGCTGGTTGGTCATGGAGGGCAAAGCTCCAATGTTGTAGGTGAAGTAGCTGGGGTTGTTCATGTCCGCGTGAGCGTATGCCGTCTGGTAGTTGGTCCTCATGGACATACCCTGAGAGATGAAAGACAAGAGGAAGAGACAGAGGAGGGAGTGAGGAAGCAGAGGCTAATTACGCAGGTGTTAAGAGCCACTGAGGCCATGATGGGAAAAACTAAACAATCGGCGAGGCTGACGAGAGACGACGGCCCACTTTGTCTGTCATATTCAGTCGCACATTAATGTGATGAGGTCTTCACTTCACGTTGAGTCTTCATGAAGTTTTCATATCTACACAAATAACTCCAAAAGCAACAAGCTGTCCAACATCAGCCTGCTCCCGCGGTATTAAATATGTGTGTGAAAGTAGTGACCTGAAGTAAACAGTCTCGTCCCAGCAAAGGCCAGCAGGATGCCGATGTTTGTATGTAATTGAGTCTCTGCTGCAGATGGTTTTCCCGTGCCCTGTAATCTGGCCATCCGGTATGCAAAGGCGGGGTGTGTGTCTGTGTGTTTGTGTGTGTGTGTTGGGGGCCAGCAGGGATATTTGGACCTGGTCAGAGACAGGTGTGCAAACCTAAACAGTACAAAACTTTCAACACACATTAATCTACGCACACACACCTCTTTAACTTTAGCAGCATCTTCCGATGCTCTGCGCCTTTCATACGTTTTCACACAGACGGAAACCAAATCTAGCCTTTGCTTCCAAAATTCAGTATCTGAAATCTAAATTTATGGCATGAGCCTCGGTAAGCTTTGTACCAAGCTGAAGTCATCCCAGTGAGAACCAGGGCTCTTGGGTTCAATTTCGTTTTGGGCTCCCAATCGCATTCTCAGTTTTTCCCATTTCCCTGAGTTGCAAATGTGATATTCATACATGCAGCCCTCTCTAGCCGCCGCCAGGCTAAACCTTAAGTTGTGAAGACATTAGCAGAGCTTGGGTTACGTTCCAGTTGTTTCTCCTGCAAAGCAGGGCGTACAACACGATACCGAACAACCTCTTGATGATGACGGTGACCATTTCTGCTCTTTTGCTCAGAGACAGATTGAAGTGATGGGAACAGACTTGAAATCCTTAAATTTGACCTCACTCAGTCCCCCCCCCTCTCTTTACTGCGACTGGGAACCCTCTGTTCTCTTGAAAAGCAGAAGAGGCTCCAAGGGAAAATCAGCTTAAGGCATAGAGGGCAAAGAAGGGTAGAGTGTGTTGGAAAAATAATCATTAGTGTGAATTAGAATCTAGGATTACTCGAGGGGCGTAGAGGAGACCTGCTCTTGTTCTCTTACAATATACACATCTCAAAATAAACCCCACTAATTGCCCCACAACAAAGTGAAGGAAGAGGGGGGACAGTTATGTGTGTGAAGAGGACAGGACCCTAAACCTCTGTGGTCTTACAGTAAGTAGCGCTGACACTGCTTAGACAGCCTTGGTGATTTGTACAGCAGCTCACTAGCCTGATGGTGGGCCAAAATGACCATCAGCGGAGCAAGGGGGAGCCCCTGTCATCTGCTTACTCTGGGTGATGAGAGGATTATACAGATCCAACACTAACTCGCACATCTTGACAAACAAAAGCGGGGCCCTGGTTCACCTCACACATTAATGTCAATGTTCTGGAGAGTGACATACCCGAGGTCTAAGTGCTGTACACGTGGCCCTTTGATTTTGGATCTGGTGGATTTGCTGGTGTGCGTCTGTATGCATGCGTTTTCTGCTCGCCGCCTACCTTTTTCTCTGCTTCATATTCAGCCCAAGCAGCCTTGCGGTCCTCCTCGCTCAAGGCTTCCTCCTCCTTGTGGTCCAGCAGGGAGTCGTGCTCATGGTAACACACAATCTGGTCCTTATTGTTCTGCAGCATCTCAGCCAGGAAGGGATCCTACATCAAGGAAAGATGAGAAAAAAATATGGTCACGGTGGGTTTGAAATCATCATCATTAGAGGGGAAGGAAAGATTACTGTGGAGGAGCCACAGACCTCTTGAGCACTAAAGGTTCCTCTATATTCAGACCGCAAAGTACAAATCCTTTTTTAATTACACAGGATTTCATGTGATGTGCAAAGAATGCAGCAAGAATACGCATGAACAGAGGTGCATATTTGCTGGATTAAAACAATGTGTTTCTCAATAAAAATGTTCTGTGAGCTCCAAACAGCTCTCTCTTTTTTAAAATATCTTTTGCTTAATTGGCAGTTTTTCCACATTCACTTGAAATTAACTTGTTACATTCAAAAGTGACTGGAGCTAAAGCTCTTTTTCCATAAGTTCCATCTTTCTGTTTTTATCCACTGACCTGTGATGTCCCTGAACGGTCAATCTTCAGGACTTTTCTTTAAACTCAGCAACATTATCATCCACCTTACTCTTTACAGTTATTCCGATGACCTGGTTTGCAATTAAATATGGCCAGCAGCTCACAAGACTTTTTTTTTTTTTTTAATTTGGAAACAAGAACACTCTTCTCCTAACCCCATGGTTAAACTGGAAAACAAAACGCATGTGGACTCATCAAAGTGGCTACACCAGATCCATCATCCATACAAAGTGTACATGGTCTTTTTACACAGAAGCCATGAAGCATTTATACAGGAAATGACTAGCATGTGCACTTATGTTGCCAGTAGTGCTACCAGCTCCTTTGAGTAAAAGAGCGCACACACCAAAATTGACATTGCAAACTGCTGCTACGCGATGCAATTTAGCGTTTTTTCTGTTTGTCGCGCATTTGACTTTGAATATTTGTCATCTATGATTTAACGGCAACAGCTATATGAAGTTCAATTAGGGTCAGAAGTTTTATGCATGTGAAAAAGTGATTTGAAACTAAAATTCCAAGTTTTAAAGAACAGCAGCTCAAACAAAAGAGTAACCCTCAGATTTTTGACACTGCCCCCTAGTGACAGTAAACAGCTACAACCTGTAGACAACAGTGCAAAGCTGTGAGTTGGCTCTGCAAACCATGCTAAGCCCAACTTTCACAGGACTGGCTACAGGCGACAACCCCAAGTGAAGCCTGGCCATCTTGTTTTGACTGTGACCCACTCAAAGTGGATTCATTCTGTTGCACACACACTACCAAAGCAATGTGCATTTCATGAGAGAATTAAGAGTTAAAGGACTACAAACAAAATAACGTATGGTTAAATATCACGTTGAGCAGTCAATAATATAATTTTTTTAAACCAACATTTTAGCCCCTTAAAAACAGAAAAGGTTCCAGATGCAATGCTAATTTGTCTCTACAGCACCTTGAATCTGCTTTTTTTTGCAGAAACCTCTTAAGTTACTAAAATTCAAAAAACACCAACACTACATTTAAGGCATCAAATCTTCTCTTAAAGCAGATTAGCACGCACTCAAATGTCAAACAACTCCAACAGTGACCTGAACGCACAATTCGAGAAAACGTGGAAAATTCTGTTCTGATACCAAAATAAAAAGATAAATACATTTATTTTTTCAGCACATGTGTTTTGAGGTTTCCATGGCTACACTGTTATTGAAAACAATACCTGTGAAAAATTAAGAGTTGAGCCAGGCTTCGCTCACACAAACATGGTTTAAATTACTCTCTGTGCAGCATGTTTGCTTTTCTTTGTCTCAACTTAGCTTTACATTAAACTGGAACCTTGCAATCTGGAGACGTCATACAGAAGTTGCATCATTTCAGCTCCACGCGAGCCAATTCACAGAGGAGCTCGGCCCTCCTCCCTTGCTCTTCGTGCTCTCAAGCTGAACAGTGACAATGGGTGAGACGACACAAACAAAATTAATCATCAATATAGTTAGCAGTAAGGAAAAGGAGGGTAAAAAAACCCCCAAAGGCCCCCGAAAAAAAACCGATAAAATTAATAGTGGATTGCAACCATTTCAAAATAAAAAGAAGAAGAGTAGTAATATGCAAGAGCCTCCCTGACTTCAGAGAGTAAAAAACAGGTGGCTGAAACAGGTAGAAGCAGACTGGGACACAGCGTTTCTCAACCCTGCACACCACAGCCTCCAACACTTGGATCCTGAAGCCAATTGTGCTCCTCATTGACATGTGTTTATGTTTTCCAGCCATCACACTCAATCAGGACAAAACCAGGCCACCCCTGAACAACCAGACATTTCAGAGCAGCAGCACAGGCAGCGATTCAACTGCTGCTTTACTCTCTAATTAGGACATAAAAGCACAGAAGAGCCCGTTGGTCTGACTTGGATAAAAGACACCCATCATGGTTCGTTCTGCCAAAATAAGTCAGCACGAGGTCAATTAAAGGTCACAATCAAGGCCACCACAAACACTTGGGATGCAGCATGCACGGCTCAAACAGCAGCATTTTACCGATTTAAACATCAAACTGAATCTAGTGGTAAAGCTTTTATCGCGCTGCTGCCTTGTCTGAAGGGCAGATAGCAAAAGGTACACAACGACTGCTGACAGCTTTGCATCAGTCCTTAAAAGAATTAAAACCAACACACACCCTGTTTTCTCTGCTTAAAAAGAAATATTACTGCTTTGCTGAACAGAAACATAATTTTGAAATTCTATTTGAATTTTTACATTTATAATTACCCCGAAGGTTTAGGTGGCAAGAAGAAAAAACAAAGCTACCATCTGAGCGTGTAGAGAATGTGAGGTGTTTTTATCCAAATGAATGAAAGAGGAGTTTTCTGACTGCTGGTCGAGTAACGGGTCAGTGGAGCTGCAGGTCAAATGACAGTATAGGCGCTCCCACTGGAACATGGTGCATTCTGGGATAGCCAAGTAATCCCTACCAGCAGTGGCTCTGGGGTGGTCCGGTCCATCTCCCATCCTAGTGCTATGTGTGCGTGTATCCTGAGGCGGCACTAATGACTGTAGGTAACCTGACCTATGCTATTGTCATCTGTATGGAGCTGCATGTGGAAGACTATCAATTTACTGCAGGGGGGTTGAGGCAAAAGACTGCGGGTGGGCAGATGCTCAGAGTGGGCGGTAAATCAGCCAATTCAACTCCATTTGAATGTTTTCTCCCTTGTGAGAAAAGCACAGGGGAGACATTTGGTGTGCGTTTGCTCAGACGCAGCACTGGAGGTGGCAGGTAATGTCTGCAGGCGACCTCTAGACGTTCTTCAGTTAGGACACAAACTGCTCAATAGTAAGAAGATCCTGATAATCAGATGTTTCAAATCCAAGTACAGGAAGAGCCTCTGTAAATGCAGACTGAACCAGTACTTTCATAAGAACCTGCATGGTCTACTTACCAAACAAGGCTTTCACTAAATTTACCAATGCATGAGAACCTTTCCCAAGGCATGCATCCTTTAAACAAAATACTTGCACATGTATAAAAACGGCTCTCCTGCCAACAGTTCGCAAATTATGTAAAGGAGCTTTCAAACGCGGCTGCCTCACACATCAAAGATGAAAACTTGGGAGTCCATATAAGTGGGCCTCATGTAGACTTTACTACTTGGCACAGAAGCCTACGTATGCTTTACCAACAGATTTTAGGTGGCGCTTAACTGTAAAGAGGTATGATGCCATTAAAGAGCCGCCTACATAACAGGCAGCAGTTCTTTGGCCACATTATCAACTTTCTGAACATTTTCAAGCATGTTAACTCCATTTCCAACATCCTAAACGATCAGTTAATATGTTGACAATGAGGTTTCTATTATACCTGTCATTGCCACAATAGTAAGCCCTCCACCAAGCCATAAAATATGAAGGATGAAAAGGGAAAAAGTTTAACACTTAGACAAGAAAAGAAAGCAGCAGAGCAAAAGAAATTCTCAGTTGTTCAGTTACAACAACTATTCCCAAATTGTGCACGAGTCTTTAATGCACAGGTGCATCGGCCATAGCAACTAAGGGGGCTAAAGCAGGATCGCAACAGCAGGAATGTGAACGTATGGGATATTTCTAATACCTAAACATTCAGTCCAGTCAAAACTCTCTCTCCCCACCAGCTGCACATAAGTGACACACAACTCTACCGAGCTGCACTAAACCGTTTCTTCGCACAAATGTGCTCAACTGCTGCTCTTGTACCTGACATCAGGAGGCCGCCCCTGCCCTTAAAACCATGTTGTCTTTACACCCTCTGGGGCCTAAACACAAGTCAGAGGGTTTATCTAGCTGTCAGTCAATTAACAAAGAAACAAAAATCATGCATGTCATAAAGGGCTAAAAAAAGACAATAAACATACCACATTCCAATAAAAACAAGCCTCAGCTAGCAGCAGTGAAGGGTTCGCTACAGGAGACAGCCAGCTGGAGTGGAGGGTTGAGAAGGGGGAGATGAGAATATAAAAATAGGAATCAGTCTCTGAACAAGCCTGAGGTGAGAAACGGGTGGGAGACGAGAAGAGGCAGACTGCTGCTCTTTTCAGATTCATTCATTGGCTCCAAAGTGTGGCTACAGTCAGAATAAAGATGCCAATGCACTTCGATCAAACAGCTCTCAGGTCAGTCAAACAGTTTCAGTCTCAAAATCTGGAGTAGAGAGAAAGACTTTATGCTGTTTCACACGGTGATTTGTAAGCTGTGGAGTGATGAGAAAACAAGTGCAACTCTATGAATGACTGATCAGTCTCAAATGACTCACTTTATCAATACAAGCCTTTAATGACAGATGAATATTCTGCCCATTGACTGGCAATGCCACAAGCAAAGTCAAAATGATTTCCTGTACAAACACCTACTGCATATCAATCATACCGAGAAGGATTGATCATAGAAAAGACAAATAAGTCGGAGTCTCTAAAGGTGGTCCCAAACAATCAGAGTATAGCAACAGAGGTCTGATGATGACTTCTGATTCCCCCCACCACCACCACCTGCAACCACTTAATTTCTTGCTGTAACTATAATTAGTGCTCTCTCCACATCCAGTACAAGCTCAGGCATGTTTTCTAAAAGCAGGCAAAAAGCACTCTGGGAAGTAAAAGAAACCGTTTATCCAAGGAGAGATCAGCCTAACTGAGGGCAGGTAATTTACAACAACAGCATCACAAAGGACCTCTGTAAACTACCGATCATTCATGTAATGCTTGAAGACTATCTGGGGGAGATTTTTTCCCCCCTCCAAGGTCAAAAGTGACTTCCTACCTCTAATGAGACAAGCATGGTGTGCTTTATAGCTCCAGTCTGCTCCTGTCTATACTGTAGTTTAGGCACAGCCTGCCCACGGCCTTTCAGCGTTCCTAGCAGAGCCTAATGACCACTGTAGCCATGACCTGCTGAGAGCACGCCAGCCGGGCCGAGAGCGTACAATGCAGAGCACATCTGCACGAGATGCTGGAGACTTTTATAAAAATTGTTCAAAGACTACCAACATAACTTTAAGTACGAGTGGTAGCATGTTAGATGGAAGTGTGTGATGAACAGGAAGTAGGCAAGAGTGTCTAAGAAAGAGATGGGTGGAGAGTAAAAAATCTCATGTCTGGGCTGAGAGGGCCTTCTTTGTCATTAGCGGGAAGCACGCCTGCTTCCTTTGTCTCCAATTAGTTTTTCTGAAGACTAGAGAGCCATCTTTAAGAGTGGGGTTTAAATAATGACCTTTCATCATGCAGGGGGAGGCCAGGGGGCGAAAAAAGAAAAACAACTTTACTGAGTTCACTTTGAACATTTGGAGGCAGAGAGGCGAGTCATGGCAGCAGATGGTCACAAAGATGGCAGAAAAAAGAAATGGCGTGGATGGAGGAGAGAGTGGGAACATGAGTAAAAGTGCAACTATAAGTACAGTATGAGGGTTGAGGTAAGGTCAAGTTAAATAAATATCCATAACAACGCTTTGCAGAAAAAGAGCTAAATATCAGCTTCTCTGTGACCCAAGTCTTTTCTGCGTGGAAAAAAAACCCTGCACTTCACAGTGTGAAGAAATGGGGGAAAGAAAGTACAAGCTCTCTCGTTCTTGGCTGAAAATGATGGAGGGTGTCTGACTCATCTTCACATCATTCCAGATGGCAAATTCCTTCCGTAATACTGCAGTCCTGCTGCCACATCATAGTTAACCCCTTGGCCAAAAACAGGTTGGCTTTATAAGAACTTGTCAGCTTCTCCGTCTTTAATACTGTGTCATATAAATGTCACTGGGCTCGTTAAAGATCATACACATCTAACAGGCCGCAGCTCAGTGAACACATCTTTCCTCTTCAGATCTCCAACTGTGCTCTGCTGCGCTCTAAGTAGGCTACTCTGGGTTTAGAGGAATATATGTGGTGGGAGAAATTATAGCAGCTGCTCACTGAGGGGATTCTCACACTGCTCCTACCTGATAATACTCATCAAGAGAGTGGCAAATGCAAATTATTCTGTTAATGTCAATAAAAAATATAACAAAAACATTTTCCAATGAAGGTGAACTGTAAGGACTTTTCTCCAATGAAAGAGCATGCAAGCTGTATATACAGTGGGGTTTTTTTTTTTTTTTAAACCTGTCTGTTTACAAGTTTCTGCAGAGTAACCAGGGTCAAACCAAAACAAAGAGGTAAAACCACTTAAGAAACAGATCTGAATAAACCCAGAGAGTTCAAAAAAGGGAATGAGTGGGAAAGGAGGGGAGTAATTCAAAGATCAACAGAGAAGTAAAAAGCAGCAAGGAATGAATGAAAAAAAGAGGAGTGCAGGTTTATGGCAGGGCAGCAGGAGTGTTGCAATGGGAAGACTATTTAGTAAATAGCAGTAAACAGACAGATCTGTGCAGCTGTGCTGGGCTGGATGGCCCATGTAAGGGCTGTGTTCTTATTAAACCCCAGGGGGCCAAAATAGTGACACTGCACCTGCATTAGAAGAAGAGAAGAGGCGAGGGCAGGATTATGAAAGGAAACGAGAAGAAATACTGAGATCCCAGAAAGAGGCTAAGCAGGATACAAGCTGGCATTGGGTTTAAATAACAGTTTATCACTGAAGCGCAAAACTTCAAAAGGAAGAACAAGCTACTCGCTGAAAGTATGGAAAAAAAACAAGCTTGGCATTTATAATAGCATCCTGTGCCATGTTTGCTGAAGGAGAAAAAAAAAAAAGCTATTTTACTACTGTTAATAGGTTTCAGCCTGTTTTCAACATTTCCTTCAAAGAAAAGCATGAATTCTCAGTCAATGATTCATCAAAGCCAAATTACATGTCTGATTTATAGTCAATTTAACTTAGGGTTAGGGTTACTGAAAGCCCACCTTCTCGATCAAAATACATACAATATATGCATCTTCACCTTAGGAAGCATGGGTGTGGCTTTCTTGCTCTTCTTTTCAGAGGGATCATCCAGCAAGTCTGGCTCAAAGGTGTAGAGTTCGGCCAGCTCGTTCATCGTAAAGTGCCTCTCAATCTGCTGCTGGTCCACAACCCGGAATGACAGAGACTGTTTGGTTACCTGCCGCTCATAAATCTTCTCCTCCATTGTGCCCTAAAAAAGGAGAATGAAAAGAGATGAACAAAAAAACGGAGGTTTAAAAAACATCAAGTGACCCAGGAGTCAATCAGAATTACACAGGCACCCACCACTGGATGATACCTATACTGGATGAACACAGAGGCATCAATATCAAGTGCAGCACAATGCAGCAAGAATTCCAAGTACAGTTTAGTGAGTTCATTACCAATCTGCATTTCCTAATGAGGTAAAATGATGATTTAGGTCATCAATAGTTTGCCCAGCATGAATCCAATTCTATTGTCTGCCATACTCAAAGAGGTGTATTAGCCTAACAGCTCAACACAAATTGGTGCAGTTACTTGGAACTAGAACCCGAACGATTTTCGCCTGATAGCAAATATTAACTGACCAGATTTATTTGCTTTTCTATTGTATTTTTAATAGTCAATAAATTAAAATTGCCAACTCTTCATTTAAAGAGATGGGAGAAATGCCCTTCAGCAATGTTTTGTGTTAATGTTGCATAGTTTGTCCACCAGAGGGCACTCTGCAACAGTAAATAAGTAAGTATACAAAAGAAATGTAACAGAAATCTGTCTGTTTAGAATGTTTGAAAGGAAAAAACTTAAAAATTGACCAATATACTGGAAATTTGGCCAACATCGCTTATACATTTGCCATCACAGGAAACTAACTAGCATGCTAGATTTCTTCGGTCAGCGCGTAGCATTTGGCTGATTGAAAGGTAAGCACTTCAAGCTATTTTACACTCACAACACACTAGCTAGACTTTAGAAGAAGTGTCTCATATTTCAGCTAAATTCAAAATGGTCAGAGTGAAACCAAAAGTCAAAAAGTTAAACAGAGTTGCCCGAACACCACCTACAGTTCAATGCCTCAAGTCAGCAAACCCACAACTTCCCAGCCCACCGATGCTGCATTAGTCACCTAATTAGCCATGTATTTATCGAAATCTATATATAAAGTCAATATTGGTCCCAAAAATTCAACAGCAGCTCATCTCTAGCTGAATTTCACAAGTCTTAATTGTTGACACCTTAACCTTCTAGGACCTGGCGTCCACATATGTGGACATCACATTTTGGGTTGTCTGTACCTAAAAACACTAATTTTTCTCTACAAGGGCCTGTTCTATCAAAAATTTAAACGAATGTCCTCATATGTGGCTCTCATCTTTCTTAGAAACAAAAATCAGGTTAAAAAACAAAACAAAACAAAAAAAACTGGTAATTCTTTGTTTTTACATTCATGAGGTCCCAATATGCCCAAATATCAAGGAGAAATTAAAAATGCATGCCATGGAAGAGCTCGGGTCTTAGGAGGTTAAACCATTCTTATACTTTATTGTGGCTTTTCAACGTTTGCTGGCTTTGCTGATAAATGTTGTAAGCCACAATTTATACAGAGCATCTTGCATGAAACTGTTTATACTCATGAAAGTCTTATACCTACTTGCTGGTTATTGGAGGCTAGTTTACCTGCAAATGTATTGACTTTTATTAAACTTCACCTGGGCAAGCAACCTGTAGACGTAGACAGTCTTAAGCTGCCCAAAGCGGTAAACCCTGAAGATACTCTGGATGTCGTAGGATGGATTCCAGGAGGCGTCGAAGATGATGACCCGATTTGCTGCCACCAGGTTGATGCCAAGTGAACCAGCTCTTGTAGATATGAGAAACAACCGGCCTCTGTGTATGAAAATGGAACAAAAGGAGACATCACAATTATATCCTGGTCACGTGCAAAAATGTTGCTTTAAGATTCTCATGCTCTTTTTTTGCAAAGTCGCTGTCATCATTTTGCATTTTGTAAACACAGCAAAGACGTCACCTTGTGTTACTGGTGTCATTAAACTCCTCGGCCCACTTCTTCCTGGTGGTGGCATTGGTAGAGCCGTCCAGACGATAGTAGTCAATGTTCCTGTACCACTTGCCTTCACCTTCACAAACATGAGAGGAACGAAATCTGATTTGCCATCTGCCGTCTACGTTCAACAGAAACTTCAAAAGCACATGTATCTGCGTCAGTGCTGCCTTTTGCTTGTCAAAGGGACTTAGTTTTGGTATTAACAGGCAGCAGATAGATGGCTGTGTTGGTTAGAGGCCAGCCATGTTTAGCCTTCAAGATGGCCAACCCAACCCCTCCCACCAGCCTTCATAACCAACATTTCAGCATGTTTCCAATTACGGCACTGTGATCTTTTCATTACAAATTACAAACCCTTGAGCAAACATTTTTTGTCGAATAAAAAGTCAAGGTCTAATCATTTTCAAAATGAAAGCAAAAACAGCTGCTGAAGTTTAATTAGGAACATGACCTTACACCAGCGGCAATGTGTGTGTGTGTGTGTGTGTGTGTGTGTCGGTGTGTGTTTAAGAGTAATAAGCACACCAGCCTGTGTAAGAATACATGCTGCATGTGGGTTGACTTATGAGTCGAAAACCTGCATTTCTATGGAAATGCTTCATCCTTATCCAAGGCTCATGTTAAAAATTTTTAACACATTTTCTCTCATACACACATACACTCACTCACACACACGTCACTTTAAAAAGCGCAGTGTAAAACCACAAAAATGAATCTTGGGACAAAATGAAGCTTGCCAATCTCAACTCGCTTATAATACTAAACAGTGCTTGGCTAAGTCTAGCAAGTTAGTAACAGGCCATAGGTTCATTTTTGCATAGTGTAATGCTATGTAAAAATGCCCAAAACATACCTTTGTATGGAGAAATTTTCTCTTCATCTTTAGCTCTGCAAGCCAACTCTAAGAAATCCTCAATCAGATCCAGAGAGATGAGAGACTGACTGAACACCAACCTAAAGACAAACACAGAGACACGCCTTGCAATGACACTGCAAACTGACAAAGGCTACGCTTGCACACAGTACAAACACACTTACACTTTGTCGTCTACTTCCTCAGCCATGCGCAGGATCTCAAAAAGCAGCATTATCTTCCCTGAGTGCTCCAGGATCTCAGCGTCAGCCTCCGTGACAAACTCCTTGTGCCAGTCAGCAGTGGGACTTCCTGGTGCGGAGCCAGAGGGTCGAGCTGTTTATAATACAGAGTTACAGATTAGCCTACATGCATCTGACAACAACAAGCCTGTAACAGACACTGAGCTTCCAAAGCTGAGGCCCACTATTACATGGTTGTCTATTGTGTTACAGTGGTAAAGTGTGTGAAAATGATTCTTTTTATTTTGTTTTAATATGTCTGTAAACTCAACCAAGCACTTAATACCTGGATACTATTAGTGATTCCAAACTCAAGCTTCTACTGCCACTGCTAGATCTGCATATGCAAAATTGCTTTTTTTGCATAACACAATGATGCCAATATCATGCTGATCATTTTGATTTGATACATTTTGAAGTGATTAGTGGACCTGGGTAGTAGATGATCATCCTAACATTTCTGGCACTGTCATAATTTTGTCCCAGACCATCTTCCATTACATGACAGTTACAGCTACCTTTAAACAGCTCTCTCAGTATTATGCAGTACAACTGCTGGTGCATGATATAGTGTACCTTTGGAGTCACGGCCAGTCCCACACATGTGTACAAAATCAAGCACTTAACCATGCAGTCTGCCTTTACCAACATTTATGAAAGAACAAGTCCTTCTGAAGAACGTGGTACTGTAATAGGATGCCACCAACGCAACAAGACATCTTGTGATTTCCCCCCCCCCCCATTTTCCACGATTAGCTGTAAGTGGTGTTACTGCAAAGTGGAAGTGTTTAGGAACCACAGCAAGTCATCCACAAAGCAGCAGACCACAAAATGCTACAGAGCCGGGTCACCGAGCGCTGAGCCACACAGAAGTCGCCAAGACTCGCACTTAAAACCTGTAGAGTTCCAAAACTCCTCTGGCATTAACCTCAGCACAGAAACTGCCTCATTTCACAGGTTTCTATGACCGAGCATCTACAGTAGGTGTGATGTATAGATGGCTCTGTACTTTGATCCATATACTGTATCTCCATGAATCTTTGACTTTAAAGGAAACAGAAGATTTTAGACTCTCACTCAAACCCACAAGTAGCTGCTCATCCCTACCAACCAGTAAAGTTCCAGTTTACATCCAGGTATTTTCAGGTGTGACCCTTTAGGTATAAAAGGTCATCACTTTTTCCATGTCATTCTATTAGGCCTTTAATTAAAACTTTTGCTTAATTAGCGTATTGATTTTTTTTCTTAATAGGCATAAAAATTCTCACATTATAGCTAAAAATGTGTTTAAAGAGTTTGAATCAAATCATCCTGGATTAAAGACAGAAGTCAAAACATCTATGGAGACATCGGGTTCATCAGAATGGGATGGAAATGCGTGCATTTCATATTTGTTTATACCGAGAGGCGCACTCATCAACAGCTTCTGCCTGTAGCAGCAGCTGGATGTGAAGCCTCCTAATTTCTAAATAAAACAGAAGGATATCACAATATAATCATCACTCCTCAGTATGTGGGAATGAATAAGGACAAGGGCAAATGGATCAGCTCGGAGCCTGTTATACTTCAGCATAAAATAAAAAGGCTTGAATATAGGCTCTTTTTTTTTTTTACCTGGGCTCACAGACAAGCAGGTAGTGTGCGTGGTTCCCTGAGGTCAGTTCTGATAAAACAGATTCCCCTCTCACTAACTAATTACTTAGAGAGTAGGAAGGACTGAATCAGAGCCTGAAATGTTATATAGATTTCCAACCATGCAGTACAGTTCATGACCCTCTTAAACCCAGCCAATCAATCGTAGTCCCCTCTGTGTGTTATTGCACACTCACGTTCCTCTACAGACTCCGCTCTGTTTCGGCCCTCGCCGTTCCTGCCACGAGAGCTGGTGTTCCACTCTTTGATGACCTCAACATCATCACTGTCCGAATCGTCAGATCCCTTCTTTTTCCCTTTTCCCTGCTTCTTTTTCCTATTAGCCAGGAGGCACAGCAAGACTGGGTTAGCAAGAGTAAGATGCCGAGTAGAAAAGCAGTTTAATTATGTCATATCTGTATAAAGAATTAAATAACAAACAAACATGACTTTACTTTTTGATCTTCTCATCTTCAGAGGTCAAACTCATTGAGGATTCTTCTGTTTCTGAAGCAATGAAGTCGTCCATGCTGTCCTCGTCAAAGAAACCCTGCAGGAAAGTACACTTGTGTGAGACTCAACTGTGCAGCAATGCAGGTCAGCTGTACGCAGGGCTCGATCTTGGGCAGCAAAAACGATGCATAAGGGGAAAAGTTTTGCTTCAGTAGCAGTATGTGGTGTTCTTGCTCGAAGCGTGACCTGTCAGCAATGTGTTTCTATTGTTTTGCTACAGTGTGCGCAATTTGTGGGAATGTATTTCTAGTTTTTCAGTCAGTGTTTGCTGTGGTTTAGTCTAGTCTTCCCCAGCCCTACCCTGTTTTCTTTACTGATGTAGTCCAGCTGAAGGCACCAGGGATGGGTCCAGATTCTGCTGAGCATCTGGAAATCCTGGAAGAGTTTGGTTCCCGCGCGGCCCCGGCTCCCCTCCACAGCATTCCCCACACCTGCACGCAAGGGAAAGAATATGAGGGAGAAGATGGATGTGTGTTTGCATTACGTACCTGACAGCATGCTCTTAAACCTTTTATACATACAGACGATAAGAACAGGAGCAACTAAGTTTAACTCTCTGTAATCTTTCAAAAAGAGGAAACCTGACAAACTGACAGACAGCTAAACTTAACTAAGAAATTTCTGAGAACACCAATCATAATTTAGTTTTAATTTTAAGGATCACAAACCACTCTTTCAAACTACATATGATCCATTAAGAGCTTTAAATTTACATGTTTTCACAGCCCATCATCAAACAATTTAAAACAATAAATAAATAAACTCTTGTTTTTAATAATTAAAAAAATATATTTTGGTTGTTTTGAGATTGTTAGAAACACAATTCACACCTTTGTCAGTATTAAGCCTTTAAGCTGTAACTACACAGGGTTGAATGGAAGGAGAAGTAAGAGTGGCAGTCCATGGTGGTTCAAAATCTCCCATCTGCACTGACACTGTACCGCCTCTTCCTTGGATCTTATCCCTTCTTCTGAAACCTCAACATTATCATTCGCTTCTTTTTTCACATCTTCCTCTACCTTTTCCACCACTACTCCCTCTCTCCCTTGTATCCACTTCATCATCTTCCTTCCACACCCCGTGCCTCAACTCAACTGTCTAAAACGTGCATAAGTTGTTTAGTCGGAATAATTAAACAGTTTGTTACCGTCAGCAGATTAAACATGCATTTCTCCCCAGTAACTGAACTGCTCACAACTAGCCAGCCATAACAACAAATGAGCCTTGACTAACCAGGTTTGGACTCCTCCACAGTAAACAGATATGGAAGCTTCACACAGCTGAGGTCAACAGTAATTTGACAATTAATACAGATTAATGCTGGCCAGAGTGTCAGAGGGGGATATAGCAAAATATTTAATTGGTACTCGGAGGTTGTTGTTTTTTGTTTTTTTTATAGTGAACAAGCTCTAAGCAATCCCAACTCATCTTAAAAAGGATTCAACTCTTAATTTTAAACCTACACACAACACTGAAAAAACAACAAAGCAAAAGATCTGTGAAGGTTCTCAGTCATCCAGGTCATCGTAGTCTAAGAAGCTTGGAAAGAAAAGTGTCTGGACTTCTTTAGGTTGCTTGAAGACGTTTCACCTCTCATCCGAGAAGCTTCTTCAGTTCTAGGAACTGAACTGATGAACTGAAGAACCTAGAACTGAAGAAGCTTCTCGGATGAGAGGTGAAACGTCTTCAAGAAACCTAAAGAAGTCCAGACGCTTTTCTTTCCAAGCTCCTTAGACAACAAAGCAAAAACAGCATTTGGAGTGAGACTCACATTTGAGCTCTAATTTTATCAATTATCCTCAAGATGCTTTAAAAAGTTGATTAGAGGTCAGCGCTCCACCCATCAGGCCTTTATAGTAAGAGTAGCGAGGGGGAAGTCGCTCCTGTCTAAAAGACACATGACAGCCTGCTGGGAGTTTGCCAAAAGGAACCTTAATGAGTTTCATACAGTTAGAAGAAATATCGTCTTGTCTGACGAAACAAAGATTGAATTATTTGGTCACAATATCCAACAGCATGTATCGTGGAAACCACAATTCAGGAATGCCTCATTGACACTGTTGTTACAGGTCAACACAGCGGTGGCTGACTGTGACAGTTTTTCTGTTACATAATGTGGGAGATTAGTTGGACAGACGCATACAAAAAATGGATTAAAAAAAAAAAAAAAAGTCTAACTTTACTCTGAGATCCTGAGAGCTCTAAAGTGTCCACGTCAACAAGCTAATGACCTAAAAGGTGCTGCCAGATAGATACAAAAGTGGCTTGGGTTAAGCTCTAAAAATGTTTTATGTTATGAAAAAGATTATCATCAAGACTATTGTGCTGCATTAGTTATTAATCTTTGACTTCTCTTCCACAGGCTGTATTTTATCCTGTCTTCCTCCCCTCAACCCCAACTGGTTATAGCAGACGGCTGCCCCACCCTAAGCTTGATTCTGTCAGAGGTTTTTCCTTCCCACTATTGTCAAGTGCTTGCGCATAGGGGGGGGTCGTCTGATTGTTGGGGTGTTTTCTCAATTATTTTAAGGTGCTTATCTTACAATATCAAGCTCCTCGAGTTGATTATTGCAGACATTTGGTACTATATGAATTAAATTTAACTCAATTATTTGCTCTCGTCGTCTTATAGCATCATGTTCCCCCTCTAATTCCTAAAAGGGCAAACTCTCTCACCATTTAGATCAACCTGAGCCAAGATGATAAAAATCGCCTCTGAGAGCTAGAGAGTACAGACATCAACGAAATACTCAACAAAGCATGTCCGGAGAGACCTGAAAATGGCTGTTCACATTATCGGCACATCAAACCTGGTTGACTTTTTTACATTTTTCTGCCAAGAAGGATGGGAGATCACTTTTAATAAGATTTGAGGATGGCTCAGCTGCCAAGACTTCCTTCAACAACAAAGTACAAATGCAAAGGTCGGAATACTTGCAAATTAGCCATTTCATTATTTTTCTTACATTTACACAATACCCAAAGACCTGTTTTTGTTTGAATACGGTTGAGTATTGTGTGCAGACAGACAAGAAAATAAAATGAATTCGCTCCATTTTAGATTAGTCTGAAAATGTGGAAAACGTGCAACGGCCTGAAAACTTTGTAAATGCACTGCACAGTCAAATTCAAGCAAAGTAATTATACAGACAAAACTAAAACCAAGCAATAAGTGCAAATCATTCTTCTCAAGGAATGAACACTGAAACCACAAAAACACAATAAAGCCGATGATTAATAGCTAATTCTTAGCCTTATAATCTGCTCCATCAGCTGCTTCCTAGAGCAAAAAGCAGTCGCTAAAACACTAACGTACCTATTCGGGACGCTGACCTGCACTGACCCCAAGACATCAGAAGTTAGTTCAAGTTTTACATAAGCAGTGGAATTAAAGGAGAGAATATTTATGGCTATTCCCACCACAACCCGTGGTGGTCTTTAGTCTGAAGACACCACTTTAAAACACTAAATCCTCTGTCACAACATCAGCACTGTGGACAACCCAGCCTAATGAGCCACAACACATACCAACAATCCCTCCAAACACTCCTGTTCTTAAATACCAGCCCTCCTGTTCTTTGTTTTTGCTTTTGGTGTAAAACCTCTGGCCCCTTCTCCCTAGAAATTTCTTTCCCTTCCCTTTATGCTACACATCCCTCCCCTCTTACCCCACACCCTCTGTTCCCTCACTCCCAGAGCTCTTCATTAGGGAGACGTGGGAAACTGGGCTTAAACCCTGCCTGTGGCACTGTGCCAGCTGCCACTCTTACACACACACACTCTCTCAGAGGAAAAGTTCACTAAATGACTTAACAATGTGCCACCAGAAAGACCCTCCATTTATCTAAAAACCTTGTCTGAGCAAATCCAGTAAGGAGAGCACTTTCAAGAGAAACAGAACTCCCGCAGTAGGATTTAACCTAGTCCTAGCCTATACATGTTTTCCAGTCGAATTCCCTAATTTTGTTTTAGTCTAAGCGTGGTCTAAATCTTTGTATGAGCAATCAGATCAGACTTGTCACTGGGAAAGCACTGCTAGCAGCCACAAGAGTCCCTGCTGTTCATAACCCCCAAAGATCCAAATAGTTTAAAGCAGTGGTTGTCAAACTGCACCATGGGCCCACACTGGTGAGGCAGAGAGCCACTGCAGCAGGGCGTGTATAACCATGGGAAAAATATGGGGAGTTAAATTAACACAATTTTAGTACCAAAGAGTTTTCCTCTAGTTGGGACTAAAACTTAGGGTTGTTGAACATCAACAAAGCAAAAAACAAACTGCACTAAAGCTTGGTTCTCACCTGTGAAGTGCTCCAGGTAGTATCTGTAAAGTTTAGCCTGGATTGGAGTCATTCTGACTGACAACACATACTCATGCTTGGGAGGTAGGAACTTGGTGAGTGCAGTGTAATCTTTTCTCTGTAGGAAAAGCAAATGCATTATTTAAGCAGGAAGTCAAAGGAGGCCTGAGAGAATCATTTCAAACATAAAAATGTTTTTTTAAATATATACCTGGACGCATCCAGCAAGCATCTCATAAAGAATGTGAGCTCTTTTCTTCATGACCCGGACATCTTGTAGGGTGGAGTCGGCACACTGACCGTTCTGGATGGGGTTAATAAAGCGGTTCCTAAACTCCTTAACTGAACCAAGCAGGTTTTCCTTAATGAAGTTCACCATGCAGTGGTCTGGTAAGGAGACAAAAGTCAGAAAAGTTATTTTTAAAAAGTAAACAAAAATCATCCATATAAATGATTCACATGGATGATAGCAGGAAGTCTCACATTCAATAAGGTTATTTTGCAGCGGCGTTCCAGTCAGCACAATCCTCCTCCTCGTCCTGATCGAGTTCATTGCTTTGGACACAGCAGAGGCCTCATTCTTCAAGATGTGGCCTTCATCACAGATCGCCAAGTCTGGCCCTAGTAAAAATGAACACAAGGATAATTTTAATGCAGCCAATTTCAGATCAGGTCACACCGCTGGAATGGCACGCACATCGCAAAAAAAAGGGGTTTACCAGTAACAGGCTCAGATGTAAACAAAAGAAAATGAAAACAGTTTGGCTAATTTGGTACATGTGGCCACATTAGAACAGCTAACGTGCAAAAAACAACCCCAGGACTGAGTCTACATTCAGCCAGAGATGTACTCACTTAAAGTGAATGTTTGTTTTAGTTTATATGAGTTTAAAAAAGGATCATTTGGACCACAAGATTGATTTTTAGGAGCACAGAAAGATAACCTAAGTCCATAACATGTAACGTAAAAATCACTCTACCTGGATCTACCAGAGTCTTCTGAAAAGTCTCTTTGATCTTCTTGCTCTTGATGTTCCTGCCCTGCGTCAGGTTTCGGTACATTTCGTAGCCCATGATCATAACACCGCCCATCTCCTGCCATCGCTGAAGGGCATACGCTCGCTCCTGTGGCCTCTTCACTGTGGCCAGCTCAGTTACCTGTTGAGCACACAATATATGCTAAGCAAGCAACGCACTGGAAACAGAAAAGGCTTGAAAGGTCACAAGGGCAACCCATTACCTCTAAACTCTCTTCATCCTTCATTCCTTCTTGCCACTTTTCAAATTCATTGAGCCAGTTCAGGACAGTGTTCAGGGGGCAAACCACCAGTGCTGTGGTGAAATCGAGCTTCTCACAAAGCAGCAACGTGTGAAGAAATGTCACCACCTACAGGACAAAACGAGTCAAATGTTGCACCAACAGCACAGAGCTTTGGAACATTTTTATCAGACTGCCTTTTAATATAAGCACTGATTTTGACAATTGCTTCTCTGTGCTGTTCTAAGGTTCCACAGGAGGTCATTTCTGTAAGTTTGGGGCAGCTAAAAACATTGCATTACACAACTGGTGTAGTTTGCACAAGAGTGAAAATGAACACAGACAATATAAGCCAAGTAACTCACTTGCAGAGTCTTTCCCAGGCCCATACAGTGGGCAAGGATGCAGCCAGAGCCAGAAGACTTCTCAATTTTTTTCATCGATTCACAGCAGCAGTCCCACATAAACTGCACTCCTGACAGGGACACAAAACACACACGATAGGAAACATCAGTGCCAAGCACCTCAGGCTTGCTTTGCTTATTTTTTTTTTTCTCCAGCTCCTACCGGTTCAAAATTCTTTGTGCATTGTGTCCTTACCATCAACCTGGTGAGGTTTGAGCTTTGTCACCAGGTTCCTGTGCACCTGCACCAGAGGCTCTTTGGTTTCTTCGTCCTCGTCCAGCACCAGCTTGGTAGTGATGGGGCAGACAACCTGGGAAGACTCCTCCACCACAATCACCTGCAAAATGAAGAAGAGCCAAAAAGATTATTTTAATTCTAAAATCTGGAAATAACGTCTTAAGTAAAAGAAATATATCACCAATTCTTCCAGTATGTTAAATTTCTCACTTTGTATCTTCAACAAAATACCTCGCTCTCTTTATGTCTGTGTATGTGAAGGAAGCCCGTTTAGGATAATGCATGGTCAATTTCACAAATTAAGAGAAAAATCCATCATGCACTTTTGGCAATTCTGACTAAACCATGGCGCATTTTATTCATTTTAATAAAAAAATAAAGTACTTACGGAAACACCCTGCTGCTCGTTACACTTTCATTTTCTAAAAATGTCCTTTAAATGTATTTAACAGCAGAGCTACCCCTGAATTATGAGCACATGGCTGACTTTTTACATGGGTCGTTAATATTGGCAACCATTGTAGCCACCACAACTGGCACTTTGTATGCTGGATGCATACAGGCTGTTATAAAACCATGCTAACGCTAGTGCTAACACAACCACCAATAATACAACAGGGAGATAATAGAGAACAAGAAACAAAAATGGAGACAGCTGTGAAGCATGCTGTGGTTCTGTGTGGCCCTCATCTCCCCAACATCTGCTTCTCTCCAGTAAATGTTTGATTTGGACCAGCAGCTCCACCAACCCACTTACTGTTCGCAGTACTGCTCCCAGAGGCAGCCATCAGCGGACTGCTACGAGCTTCTTTTAGATGAAGGTTTAAAAGAAAAAAAAAATTTGTGCCACTGCAGGCAAAAGAGGATGAGCAGAGTGGTTCAAAGGCCACAGCTGCCAGAGAGTCCTGGTGCAAACACCAGGAACATTTTACATCATATGCAGGAGTTACAGGAGGAAACAGTCAGACTTTATTTAGCAGGACAATTTCTGCAAGTTTCATCTGACTGACGACCCCCCCACCAAAAAAAAGAAGAGATTTAATGGTTCTCAAATGTCATGCACCACAAAACAAGTCTACCCCACACACTATAGATCCCAATAACAAAAATGTTATCACAATTAAATTTGTGACTAAATGGTCCACATGGCAGTTTAGCAAATCCCTTTATTGTAATTCTTATTTTCTCTACCAAAAAAAACATATCCATTCGACTTGACTTCACTCTGGATTTTTCTTTATTCGTAGCCATTTACCACCCACACTGCAGCAGCATTCCCACCACTGAGAACCAACTCAAAATCAGCGTGATGAGTTCTAACCTACCAGCATTTGTGCCAAGTTTAAATTTGTAGTAAGAGGGAGATTGGTCAGGAAATGTGTTATTGGCCTATTAAACATAAATTTGCATTGGCATACACACCAACCGTCAAAGTGCAGGATCCCTGTTAGTTTCACACCAGTGTATTTCACAAGCTAGTTGACAGCCCATCTTTTCACACTAACCTTTCTGAATCTTTGATTCATATATTTGTTTTATGGTAATTACTATAACTTCCAAAGCAGACTCTCCAACTGCTTGATCTGAAAAACTTAAGACACATGATTTGATTTAGTATAAAGTGCAAATAATGAAACGTACTGCTCATCATTAGATCCTCCAACAACTAATATTGAGTGGAAACTCTTCATTTTCTTTCCACTTCCTACAACAGCTCAGGGCTTTGAATATCGAGTCTATATTCCTGATAACAGCCGCACATTTCATCTTTACCTCTCGAAGTTTCTCCCTGAGTGCCTCTCTCTCAGCTATGCGCTTTCTCCTCTCCTCCTCTTCTTTCAAAGCATCCCTCGTCTCCGTCCGCAGTTTGTCATCCTTCAGGATTTTGCGGATCTTCTTTCGGCCTTTGCGTCCTTCTCCATCTTGGTCCTCCCCGCCCTCCTCTCCACTCTGTGGAAATGAACATCAAGTTCAGCCCTCTGATGTTCAGCCCTTAGGCACGGGGGGGGGAGCACTTCCTAAGATCAGTAGCTGAGCAGCCCCATGATTGGTTTGTGGCCACAATAATCCACACAACACACTCCAGGGTAAGTTTAAATAACATTTTAAGTGTCGTGCATGACTTGACTTGGTAAATTTCACATGGCTCCATTTCCTCTACCTAGTAATCCTACTATGAAAAAAGAAGCTTTGGGACAGTTTAGGAGCACCAAGTGCACTGCATTTAAAACACCTTCTCATTGCTTGAAGAAGAATCCTGAACTTTGATCCTGCGTCGCTTCTTCTTCTGAGCATAACTTCTCTGTTTTTCATCATCCTTCTTCTTCGCAGCTCTGCAGGAATAAAAAGAACAATACTACATTTGTCCGGCTCCACCAGCAGTGAAATAAGTCACCACCACTGGTTGGAGTTCTTTCTTCTTACCTGGTCTTTCGACGCTTGTCTTCATTGTCTGAGTCGCTAACCACCTCACTCACGGCCGACTCTCCACTGGACTCTGACTTTTCAAAGTCTGAGTCTGCAGAGTCATCGCTGTCCACTGAAATGCAAATAAAAAAACAAAACGAAAACCTGTCATCTAACAGCTTCTTCAAATATTTTAACCTCAAATAGGACGTGGCACAGAGACTGAATTATAATTTCAGAACAAACCTTTCCGTCCTGACTTCTTCTTGCCCTTCTTCTTCTCTTTCCCAGCAGCCTTCTCCTCTCCTGATTCACCCTCACTCAGTGAGAGTTTATGACGAAGCAGTTTATGGCGTCTGCCACTCTTCTTCACCTCGACATCAGAGCCAGAGTCTTCTGTATCCTCATCATCTTCATGGAAAGAAAAAAATGTTTTGAAAATGTTCATGAAGATGAGTATTATTAAAAAAATAAATAAATAAAATCCTAGGATTATTTAACAAATTTCTACCTTGCTGCTCGTCTTCTTCATTTTCTTTTTTAACTTTCTTGGAGGACTTCTCCTCCTTTTCTGCCTCTTCATTGTCAGAGGAGCTCTCTGCTCCCGAGGAGTAGTTCGATTTGATTTGGGCAAGAAGCATTTTCTTTGCAATCCTGCAGGTAAAGAGAAATAAAATCATAAAAACCTGATTTTACAAAAACATTCTAGCCCCTCCAAAAATGAACAAACAAATAAAACATTTGTGTGGAACCTTGTAAAGTTAGTGCAATATAATATAAATCAGAGCATTCGAACACCAGTTTCTCCTTTGAGATTGTTTCAATGTAACAACTGAATACTACTGGTACTACAACACCATTATAAACACTGCAAAAAATACTGATATACCAGTGTAGCCTTACAGACAGTGTCAATTATTTGAAATGAAAGAAGAACAATTTCCTAGCTGTTTTTGTTTGCAATTTATAAAAATGACAAATGCAGCTGTTCGATCTGCTAACGCTAAACCTCGCATTTCACTGTTGGGACTGAATGATGTTGATACCCACTTGATGCCTGTTGGAAGAATCAATTTCTTTTACAAGTACCTGTTCTCAGGATCGTCGTCATCATCGTCATCACAAAACCCAGTAATTCCCTCTTTAGTGTCCACTTCATCTCCTGTACAAAACACCACACATTATAGCAAACCTCTCCAACATTTAAACAGATGAAAGACATTATCAATATAAAAAATTGCTAAATTAGAATGATTCCTTCACAATTTTCTTTTATATTGCCATGAACTTGTAGATGACTTTAACAAGAATAAAGAGAGTAATCAAAATTATCCCATGTATATGGAAGTATAATACAGAGTTTGAACAGAAGTCAGGGCTAAATGTCGCAATTATTTAGGTTACTACAGCTGGACAGTTCCAGTAAGAAATAAATTGCTGATATGAATAATTCTGGCTGAGGAGATATAAACTGGAGATATCTTTAAGAGGAACTGCCTTGGGTCAAAACTGTTGGCTTTGATGGTAATAGCTCAAAAAGATGCTGTTGTTTCCGCTGTGGTTAAAGATTAAATGTTAAAGTAGTAGTAGTAGTAACTGAAGGCCATGCAGGTCATTACAAGAAAAGTTTAAAACATCTCTGTCCTCCTGAAGCACATTCATCAGCACATTTCATTTATTTAATTCATGTTGCAAAACTTCCAGGTGTACCTGAGGATTGAATAAAGGCTGCACTGCCTGCCAAAACGTTATCCTCCACAATAGGTTTGATCTTTTGCTCGTCGCTGTCCTCCCCAGAGGCACCTTCAGCCTCCTCTTCCTCCTCATCACTAGAGGTCAACTGTAGCTTTGAGGATGTTCTAGAGCCCTTTCCCTTGCACTTCTTTTCATAGGACCTCTTCGGCTTCGTCTCAGGTGAGTTTTTGCTTTCTTCTTTTGTGTCATCCTGCTTCTTTACACGGGTAGATCTCCTCCTCGCTACACGCGCTTTACTGTCCTTCTCCTCAGAGTCCGAGTCTGAGGAGTCCGAGCCGTTCCGTTTCTTCTTCTTGGAAGTTTTCTTACCTTTACTTGCTAGGTCTGAATCGGAGCTTACAGACTTCCTTTTGCGTTTGGACAATTTCTCTGCGTCTTCTGTGGATGGCTTTAGTTTGAGTGAATGCTTTTTAGATTTGGCGCTTCCCTCATCAGTGCTGTCGCCTGCTGCGGCTTTTTCCATCAGTACATCAGGAACTTCATCCGAATCAGAGTCAGCTGTCTTTTTATCAGAAGCCTTGGCCTGTTTCTCGTCTTCCTTTTTAGTGCTCCTGGATTTCTTGGAAGACTTGACCTTGTCTTTGTGATCTTCCTCTGACTCTGAATCCGAGTCAGAGGACACATTCTTGTCCTTATTCTCAGTCTGCTTTCTCAAAGGAGTAGTCTTCACTCTGCTAGAGCGACGGCTGGGCGGTGGGCTCTTGGTTCCATCTACTTCATCAGAAGCTGCATTTTCTTCCTCCTCGCATTCTTGTTCAGACTTTTTTGACATCTCGCCGCCCTTTTCTTTGTTTTTGGACCTGGATGACCTTGACCCACACGTTGTAACAACTGGGACAGGAGTCAGTTTCACTATAAGGTTCTTTACCTTGGGCTGGGGCTGAGTGTCTTCTGGGTTTCCATTAGACTGTGACTCGGCATCGGTGACCGAGGATGTGTCAGCCTGTGACAGCATTGTAGAATCTGCAAGACTCTCCACCATCTGAAAAAGCTCTTCAGGAACTGAAGGCGGCACAGACATAATATCATGATCTAAGGACATTTCACCAGCAGACACCAGCCCATCTTCACAAACTTCTTTTTTAATTGTCTTTTGGGTTGCGTCAGTTTCTGTTTGGTGATCTTTCATTTCACTCTGTTCTGACACCTGATCTTTTTCCACATCCTGCTCCTGAAGCGTCTCCTCATCCACCTCTTTAGGTGGATCGCGCTCCAACACCGAATCTGCAGTGTTGTCCATGGTATCATTTTCTGCAACTGCCTCAACATTAGTGCTTTTTCTAACAACGTGCTGGCCTTCATTGCCATTCTGCAACTCCATGTTTCTAAACTCAGGCTCCAAAGCCTCCTCTAAAGCACTGTGAGCTTTTCTCAAATCAGAAAGCACGGCCTTAAAGGCTTTCAAATGCCGATACCTGATAGGTCTATCTCCCTGGTCCTCGGCTTCCTGTTGAATGAACTGGATGAAAGTATTGTTCAACCCAGTTGTAGTTTCAACAAGCTTTTTTGCTTTCTTTACAAGTTCTTTTGGTATGTGCAGTTTTCTGTAGGAGAATGTCATGGTCCCCGAGTCTTCTGTGTGTTCTTTTCCATTGACGACTGCTTTGTGCTCTTTGGCTGCTTTGTTCTTATGCTTCTTGCTCTCACGTTCCTCCGTCTTCTCCGTTTTCTTTTGCTTAAGCTGCTGTTTCTCCATGATGCGACTGCATTTGGAGACCAGATCCTGGAGGGGCTCTGATCTGCAGACATAACAGTGCCACTTTGAGTTCTCATCAGTAATGCCTGACAGCTCCTTCCTGCCCAGGTTGCGCAGAATGCACTTCTTGCAAAAGGCATTGTTGCAGTAGTCACAGCAGATGAGTTTGCCGCCTTCAGCACACCACCTGCAGAAAAAATATTTAACATGGTTTGAGGGCAAATAGCAAATGAGGTCCTCAAAAGCTCCCCCAAACATTACTTTAAAAGAAATTCACTGTTTTATTAGTGTAGTGTACCTGCACTGCTCATCCATCCCATCAGAGTCTCTGCTGATGTCATCACTTGTATAGTATTTGTAGCATGACTGGAGGAAGAGGAAAGAACGTAAATATTTAAAAAAAAAAAAATAGTGAAAATGGTAGAACTTGTAATAATATGATGAAAATATGTGAAATGTCCATCTCAGAGTCTCTACCTTGCAAATAAGTACTTTGAGCACAGGATGAACAAACACAGAGTTACGCTGGAACTGGTTCACTTGTTTTCCACAGGCAGTGCAGTTTACCTTCTTCTGCAGGGCATCATCTACAGCAAGAAGGAAGAAAAAAAACATCACTTTCACAATCCACTTCATTTACGTTAAAATCTTATCCAGGTTCACTTTCAACGGTCAATATGACAAATCTGTCTCTCCCCCCCACGCACTTTACAAAAAGTCAGCATTCTTTTAGCGGCTGTCCAAGCATATATTAATGTTTTCCTCTGTCTGAGAGAATGACACAATTCCAATGCCCTCACCCTTACTTTAAAAGTTTAGTTGCCTCTAACCAGTTAAATTACTGTCTCCAGTTATTTAAATGCAAGCTAGGCAGATCACTCTCATGGTAGTTTGAGGTCACGTGCCTGCACTCTGTGGACTGCAGCTGGCAACAGGAGAATCAGGTCTACTGTTGCCAGCTGCACTTTTGGAGTATGAGTCAATCCACTAGACGAGGAACTCACTGAAGAAGCAGCTGATTCCTATTACCTTATTTATTGTCACAATGTACGTTTACTTTTACACTTCTTTTTGTACCACACATGCCAAAAATCAGATTTAATTCTGTGAGAAACACTGTAAACACACATTTTAATCAGAAATATAATTACCTGTTTTTTTCTGTTTGAAATCCACTCTGAGCTTCATGGCACCTTTGTTTTCATTCCCAGCTGGCCTCATCACTAAAGTGCCTGAAGAACAAAACAGCTCCGTTTGCAACCCAGACATCCATGACATCTTGAATAAAAATTCAGAAATACCTTCGTACAGTTCATACCTTTAGAAACACTCCCCGTGTTATTGTCTGAAGGATTGTCAGAAGTGGCACCTTCACTTTCGGCCGAGGACTCGGATCCATTCTGGTCCGTGTGCTTAGCTACAGAGGTGGGCTTCCTGCAATAAGTCAGGGAATCAACTTTAACATTTCAATCTGCATCATCTCTGCGAGCTATTTTGACCGCATACAAGTGCATAAGCAACAACAAAAGGCTGACACATTTAAGAAATCTGCTCCGCACCTCTTGTTGCGAGAAGAGGAGGGCTTCATAGTTTCTGCTGAGCTACCAGGCTGGCAACGATATAAAATATATTTTAATTGCTTGAGAATTAACAAGTTTCAAACATTTAAAAAGTCTAAAACAAACGAGTGGTGAACTTACCTCTTCTTCCTTTTCCGCCATTTGGTCTAGGTGTGATTCTGAAGCAGCCAGACTCATTTTACCTGAAAAAACGTTTACAAAAAAAGTTTGCATTCTGGTTCCATATTACATCTGACAGAACAGTCAGAAACTAGAGGGAAAAAACACATTTAAAAAAAGTACAGCTACATGCATTTACTGTATGAATCTATGTTCACATTCTGCATTTAAACTGAGCTTTTGTCTTTAATTTCAATCTAAACATTTCAGATCTTCTATTGTACCATGGTGCCCTGCTCTGTATAAAGCCCAAGACCAACAGCATATCACTACTATAAATATAGAATAACAAGAATATCAACAGCAGCAGACACAAGTATGATACAAAAGACAAACACATTAAATCTTTCTTTAAGGTAAGGTGTCCAGCCCATTGGATGGCTTCAGAAAATGTAAAGGAGGGCATTGTAATTGCATTGTGGTGCTCAAAGTGCCAAAACACCAAAATATGGTCTGTTTACTTCTTCTTCTTTTTTTTAAGGATAGTCCCACTCCTTGTTTTATAGTAGTTACTACCCCCACTGTGCATCTACTATGATGAGAGGCTCCAGCTCTTGACACTGTGACAGGATGTAATCTTTCATGTCCTTCAGGTGAAATTTAACGGTTGCTAGGTCTATGCTTCCTGTGGTTGGCGGATGTAGACAAGTACAAGAGAAAAAAAAAATTCCCACATAAAGCCACTCGCAACAGAGCTTTTCTTTTAATAACTATGGCGTTATTCTTCATGAGTGTATTGAGTGAGGCTTTAAGAAAGTAAGAAAGGTGAAAGTGGCATTTAGCTTTATGATATTCAGAAAAGGGCCGATGTCTCTCAAAGTGCGCAACTCAGACCAAAACAATCTGTATTTGCTTGATAGGCCAACTGTTTCTCTAACGGTGATTTTATTTATATATTATTTCCAGTACACCACAGCATGAAAACAAAGCTATGCCAACATTTATGTGCACGGTCTTCCGTAAACAAACTCCGACAAAACTGAACTAAATGCAGCTAAATGAGCTCCTGATGAAAACAAAGCCAAACCGCAGGTTTTGCGAGTCCGCACAATCATGTAATTAAATATACCGCTGTGACCTGCATGTTTTATAGGCACATCTTTGGAGCATGCCGCTCTGCAGACAGAGCCGCTGCTGTTTATTTTGCCCCTTTTGCGTCATCATAACGTGCTGATTAGATGCTACGAGATGTGGTGAACAATCACCCGGGCTTGCTAGCAGCAGCCGGCCGTACGATTCTTACTCAGTTCTTCCGCGGGAGAAAGATAAGAGCCCACCTATCTGTATTTGCAGCTTCTTTATCCTCACCGAAGTCTTTCCGGGTTTTGACAAGTCACAAAGTGTCGACTATCAGGGATGGCAAGTTCAGCTCTGCTAATATTAGCCCGTTTACTATTGGTACAGAACTACTTCTTTTCACTGCCCCCGTGTTGCCCTGGCAACCTTGCAGTCTCGGCCGTTCGCACAAGCTCCAGTGCATGGGCATGCACCGCTGCATGCACAGGCCTTTTTCTCCCTGTGACGATGCCATGACACCAACCCGCGCGCTACCCGCAGACTGGCACTGCCTTGTATAGCATCCCAGCTAGCAACATTTAGCTGGCTCCAATTAACACAACGAAAACTACCACTCAATAAAAAAAAAAATCAATCACATTTAGGATTTTGATCACTTTGACAAACATCCCTGTATGCGCATGTGTGCGTCTGAATAAGCGTGTGCGCGAAATTGAGCATTACCGGCCGCGCAGCTAACGGCTGCAACCAAGCTAGCCTAGCTTGCTAACTAGCAAATAGGCTCCTATGGCCCGGCTCGCCGCTAGCGAAGGCGAGCACGGCAATCAATGCAAAACTGACTTGTCTAAACAAACAAGACAAGTGTTCGTACCTACTTCTCGCCGTCGTCATTTCTTGACTGACAAACACTGGTTTTGTCTTTGGCCCAGGCAGCCCAGCTCAGTCGAGCATACAGATTTTCACTAGTGTTAAAGCAAGAAGAAGCAAGAGAAAACCGAAACAACTCCGGTCAGTGGAGACAAAGCAGGGGGACCATCTTGCCGGATGGCTGTGGACGCAGTAAAATGGCGCATCTAGCCTCAATCCTGTGCGGATTCCTATTGGCTGACCGGCTCGTGAGCTTTGGCGCTCTGAATGGTCCAGGCTCCCCGGAGCTGATTGATCCTCCGAGCGAAAGCAAACATTTCCTCCATAAAAAACAAGAGCGGCATCTGCTTTTGGCTGGGTTGTCATTCCTGTTGAAGCCTACTTACTGATAAAGGTGTACAGCACACAATTTCTATACATCTTTCTCGAGGACGACAGTAGTTCAAGTAAATATACATGTAGAATCTAAATACACAACATGTAGGATCTAAATACACATACCATTGTAAACCTCAAAAGTTTACAATGGAAAGGTAATATAAGGCATGTAGCTACAAAAAAGGTGGAAACCACTGTTTAATCTTCAGCAGTAGAACTGACAAGTTATATATTATAAAGACATATGACACAACGTTAGAATGTGACAATGTACTAAGTTGAGCTTTACAAGCATCTAATGGTTTAAGTAAATAAACATGACTGTGTTTCACATTTGGTGCAGTCTGTCCTGTTTGACTGTTTAACCATTTATAACCAAGATTCATGCAGACCTTATGGACTCATTTTGTAATCTTGGCTGTAAAATCACTGAATAATTCTCATCTTTCAGGAACTACTTGAATGGTTGAGGAGCAAAGTATTGTGAAGTGCACGTGGTTGTTTTGTTTCTGTGTTCAGACAGCTGCAGCTTGTGAATGCCTACTGCAATACACTGAATATCCTTAAAGCTGAGTTACTTAACAATACCTAAAGGTGGGGCCCTTTCTCAAAGGATGTCAGCCTCTCCGGTGCAAGGGCACAGCAATAACAAGTAGAAGTGTACAAATGTAAGTGTATTTAAACTGCGAAAAGGTGTGTGCTCGAGCTTCAGCATATATAAAAAAACATCACACAATAACCCAAAAATGTTGCAGCTATCTCTCAGCTGCACTGGGTGTGATTGGTGGAGGCTGTGACTAATTCTACTAATTCGAGTATTTTTGTCTTACTGTTAATGAAAGCTAAATGCTGTATTAGTTGTAACTAAGTTTTAACTAAGTTAAGTTTTCACTAATTAGTTTTAAATAAATAATAATTTAGTTCAAACTAATACAGTAATACACTACTACTGTAGTGTCTAATAATGACATACTTGGAGAGAGGGGAGCAGGGTGTGTGTGTGTCTGTGTGCGTGGGTGAATAAGGGTGTGTGGGGGAGGATTACTATACAGAGTAAAACTGACATTAGGGCTATTAGGAATTTTCTCTATCAGTCACATTTTCCTCTTCCTAATGTGTGTGGGATTGGCTAAAGTTGAAATCTTGACTCAAAATATTTCCCATGTGCCTACACATCACACATCACAGTCTGATATGTCACACATGAATGGCTACACACTAATACTAATAAAAATACTAATAAATGTTAGTAATGCCACTTGCCACCACACGCAAACTCTGCTTGTCCATTTAAAGTGCGATAAGTCAAAGTCCCAGTTGTGAAAGTAAAGGGCGCACCAAAGATGCGGTCTCTGTGGTAAAAATATCTCTTAAGGTGTGAATATGAGGGGGTTAGGTTCTTGATTAAACTTTTCAGGAAAGGTAATTTCTTAGTAATCGATGGAGTTCAACTACTGGAACATGTAATAATCGTCTCGCCTTATTTGGTGCTTTCCCCCTGTGACGTGGTCATGGGTGAGTTGTATAAGTACCAACAGTAGTAAGACTATCTAGGGAATTTACCTTATTCTACTCAAGCTGACACTTCTAGCTCCGGAGCTCTTTGAAAGACATGAAGAACTTTGGTATTGAGTGTCTTACACTGTTGATGATAGCTGTGATGGTCTATGCAGCACCAATCAACCCGTGTGAAGACAAAAGGCTGAAGCTGAAGCAAATTGAAGAACATGCCAAAGAGGCATTAAAACATCATGTAAGTAAACTTTATGTTTCTCTGTTAGTACGCCATATATTCTTTGTTGATATACTGACATTTTTATCTAATTATCCCTGCAGCTGCCTGACGTCAATGTGCCTAAGATAGAAAAATGTGTGGTAAGTTGAAAATGTTTCATATTTTACTCTTCACAGTGTTCTTTGACCTCTATAACAGACAGCGATTACCACGCGTTTGTTATGTTATGTCATTCAGTTTCATCTCCAGCATGTTGGGCACCGTTGCTTATCACTGTTTTCTCTTTGCAGGTAAAATTCTTCTGCTTAGCCGAAAAGGCGCTGAACCAAACTCTGAAAAACAATTCAAATCAAATCAATTCGAATCTAAAAAAACTTGAGCGTTCCCTGCATGTGTACAGCAAGGTAAAGATGCATATTTCTTTCAATGCATTTGTATGGCAGTAATTCAAGAAACTGACTGTGTTTTAGTAATTAACACAACAAATTGCTGATGTGGTGATAAAAGATTTGTGTGTGTGTGTGTGTGTGTGTTTAGTTCTGTCTTCAACTAAATTTAATGTTCGAAACATAACTGGTAAACCTGATTTTGTTGCAGGGTGAAATCTGTGACCTGCACACGCAAAACGAATATAAAATAACACAGTTTCTGGAGAAAATTGTGCATTGCGTTGAGGTCGCCTTGGCCAACAAGAGCATCATATGTCCACATCATATTAAATGAAGAGTTATCCCCAAGTTTATTGTAACTGTAAATATATTTATGGACTTATTTAATGACATATTTATTACTTTTTTCACGTTTTCTATTTATATACAAATAAATTAAAACAAAAAGGAGCACTTGTCATTACTTTCATTTTTACACCTATTGACGTGTGTGTTTGTGTATTTATTACTCATTACTGCCATCAGTGTGTAACATTTATGGGATAATTATGAACTTCAGCCAGGCATGTTCATGACTTAGACGTGTGATCACTGGATTTATAGCCAATCTTTATCTCTTTATTTAAAATTAATGTGTGCATCAGTCCCATGCTTACTAATATAAATGATTAAATTATTAAATGTTTTTTAAAACATGTCATTCATAAATAAAGAAACAGGGCCTGCCTGAGTAGAGCGTAGGCTTCTATGTCTGCTTGAGAAAGCGGTCTTTTGATGGTGACCACTTCCCACGCAGGAAAGCAGAAACAGCCCATTTGTAGCACCTCATCCCTCTTTCAGCCACCTCTCTACAGGGCAACCCCCGGTTCATTTCCTGACACAAATACCAGACTTTCACAGTTTGAAAGTCAATAAATAGATGACAATGACTCGGCTATGTGACCCGTTTCACATCATCATGAGCCGCCAGTTGTAACTTTTGATTTGATGCAGTGAATGATGCCTGCCTCTGTGGTTTCCAGCAGGATGTCACACAGATAGCAAGCCCTGCTGCATGGCTGCAATGTAGATCGAGGTTAAACTGGGACGAGCCGGAACCTTCGACTAGTGAGTGAATGTTGAAATCTGCTGTTACATACAAAATGCTCTCTGGCGAGTTCATTTCCTCTGTGCTGAAGCCTAGCGTTGCTCCCAGCTGACGGCGTGGAGATAACTCCTCCATCAAATTCAAAAGCAGTGTGCACATCCTTTTATCCCTTTCATCCCTGTTTTGCCCGATGATGTGCAGATTTTTAAGTCAGACAGTGGATCTGTACATGATGTGTCCCTGAAGTTATTTCATATTAAGAAATGACCTGAAAACAAATTGAATCACTGTCATTTTGTGCTATTCAAATATGGTATTTGAATGGTATTAAAATATGTGGAAATTCAGTGCAGTTTACACTAATGGACTATACTGGACTAGTGTAGAGCAGGATGTGGTGTTTAAGATCACTTTTTGATTAGATCTGTGGTTCTCAAACTGTGGGGCGGACCCCACTGCAAGTGCACTGACAACCATCTATAAATATGATGTAAAAATAATGTGAATAAATAGGATTTATTTCTACAAGGAAACATAAGAGTTTCCTGATTCGGTTGCACTGATGACTTTCAGCTTTAAGTCTAAAACAAATTCTCTTATTTTTAATAAGATAGCCGATCATTGTTAGGTGTTGGAGCAAACCTTTTCGGCTTCTGAAATGGGGCGTGTAGTTTTACTCATAAGATTGTACCTTTGATACTGCCTGTGAGCTGGTAAGGAGCTGTGACAGCACATGTAATGCTTGCTCATATCTACCCGAATTCAGACGGTTAAATCCAGAAAGAGCAGTAAACCTCAAGGCTGACAACAGAACAGATCAGCTGATCAGAGCCTGCACCAAGAATACAAAAAATTCTCACAAATGAAGTTATCGATGGACCATTGTGCTGGGAATGCTGATGCAGATGATCCGACGTGTTTAACATGTCCGAGCATCTTTCACGTGTGGTCCCATCATGAAAAGAGGGATCAAGATCACTTCCACCTGTGTTTTGGTTTGTCCCACAGGGAGATCAAAAGAGCAGGGGGCGGTGGGGATCCTTGGTAAATCACACCCTGAAAGTATTTGTGGGTAAAACTGTTCAGTAAAAAGTTGTTTTATGCAAAAGATCAAGAAAAAACAAATATGACATCAATTAGGTTAGTTTAGAAATTCATTCTGAAAGCCAGCTGAGCTGTTTCTGGTGTGGTGGTGTAATCATGATAATCTCTTCTATTTTCTAACATTTTAATTCTGAAACACAAAGAGCATCCAGAATGTGAGATAAAACACGTGGAATAATTTAATAAATAACCCCTCCCCCCCCCCAAAAAAAAACAGTGGTTTAGGGATTGTAAACAGTTGACAGTATGATAATACAATATGATACCAAATAAAAGCCATTTTGCCTCCACTATAAAACACCATGAAATGAAATCATCTTCACAAAAAATCCTACTAGTGCATTATACTAAGGCATACCATATGCATGTAGTATCTTGTTATAATAATATAACACAGTGTCCTGACATCTGACAATATAAAGATGACTTTCCTATTTTAGCTATTAGCAGTAAGAGTTGACTGACATGCATGCTCCTATGCTCCTTACCTACAGGAACGAGTATAAAGCAAACTTTTCATGTATATAATTATTTAAATACTTTAACCTTTTACCCAAATGATTTCTGTGAAATTGCACACGCAATCAGAAATTAATCATAACACATTAATATTCGCACGGGCCACTTAACACAAACCAGTTGGTCACATCGCAGGAAATCAGTTTAGAAGCTCACAGCTCTGTTTCTGTCAGCTTCTGTCAGGATTTAAGACATTTTCAAAAGAGAAATGTATGTTTTTATGGTTATGGTGCAGCTGAAATATGTCTCAAAGCCACATAAAAATACCACAATACATATAACGGGTCCTCCAGGCCAAGAAGTCTAAAGTCCTATCACAGGTGCAACTCTTTTACATGTAAAACCGTATGAGTTATTTAAAGTATGCAGATAATTTTTTAGATAGTGTTTGGTCATAAACTGGACCAACAGCTTCTTTCAGGTAACATGAGAGTTGCAGTGCACTGGGGCTCTCCTCTGTGCTGTCATCACTGCAGAAGGGATTCGATCACAGCGTCTGGCTTTGCAGATCTTTTCCTGTGCGGAGATGGGTGTGTGATAAACGTTATCAAGCATTTCAAGGAGCTTTTCAGCCTGCTCAGTTCTCAGAAAAGCAGCATATCATGATATTGACTAACACCATCATGCTTACAGCTCATATCAAACTGCTATAAATACACTAATTATGAAGAGTTGCTAAATGTTTGAGTTCCCAAACGATATTCAGGAACTCAACGCTATATTTAAAGTGATCACCCTGTTCTTCACTTGGACTGCATGCACTTCATATTCATGCAGTTGAACTCAAGAACAAATAAAAAGATAAAACATAAGAAGAAATGTCACTGATCTAACTTTTTTTTTTAAAAAAAAAACCTACAAGTACACATGGAGATAACCAGCTCATGGTTTAACAAATTATTCTGAACCCTGCATCTAAAGAACCCATTTACACTTCATCTGCTTTTGCATCTAAGCTTAAACTCAAAGAAAAAAAACCAATCAGATTGACCTGATTAGTACTTTAACTCTGCCTCAGTGCAACTACATGAGCAAGATCTTCCTCTGTGATAACTACAGCTGGGGTAACAGAAAAATTAAGTAGAAATCAACCATCTCTCTCCATGATAAGCAAGCGCAAGAATGCGATTGCAACAGTCAGCCAGGAGCAATAATCTGATCCAAATTCACCACTAAGGGAATAAAAGGCCAACATTAGAAAGAGGTGCAAGTTTGAATTTTGGTGCTGTTGGTTAATGGTAGCTATTAACTGGCCTGTTAAAAAAAAATATTGTGGAAGTTTTTTTTTCTTCCTTTTTTAACATTTTGGTCATTCATCTTGCAGACAGGATGCAGTCCAACCCATGCAAACCAAACTGGGTTAAATCACATTCAAGTACCAAAAAGCAAAGATTCATATTTGTTAACTAAGAGGAAACAAGTGTATTACATTCTGCTATGACAAATGTAGATGGGGGAGGAAGATGTGTGTGAACTTCACAGGGGACAGGTAGTCAATATTAAAACACAAGGTACTGATTTGTGTAGAAAGCTCTCTACCTTCGGCCAGTCTTGGGACGGCCACTCTTGCTACTTTTAGAGGTCTTGGGCCTCTCTAGTTTCATCAGCGACTGCCGCATACTCTCCTCTGTGTAGGCTAGATACACATGAGACAGATCCACCTCAAATGGCTACAGTGACAAGGAGAAAAGAAAAGAGGTCAGAATTACAATGTAAAGACAGGAAGAGAAAAAAAAAATCCATAACATCAATGATTACATAAAAACAACTTTCCGCAACTCACATCTTTTTCTTTTTTGTCTGGAGCAGGAGTCTGTTTTCTCATGTTGTTGCCAGTGTAAGCCACACATTTCTAAAAAAGACACACAAATCACCAGAAAGAAGGAGTGAAACTCTTTAAAAGGATGCTGATTAGACTGTGCACCAGTGTGTGAATTAGCTGTGCAAAGTGAGCTCACCAGCTGCCACTCTCCAATGTCCTCATTCCAGTGCACATAGTTCTCTATCATCTCCTACAAGCAAAACATGAGAGATTATCAGAAACACTATCTGGAAGTTGAAGATGAGATATGTTGCATGGTGAGAAAACAGCAAAAGTAACATTTCTTTCTGTTTGTCAAAGAAAAACTGGTCAGCTGACAGTTTTGTAGGCTACTTGGAAGGCCATGCAACCTTCCTGTTTGCCTGCTTCTCAATGAAAATATGTTTAATGCTAGTAGATGTTGCTTCCCATGTAAAAATGTCATCGTACAGGAAGCGCATTACTAATGTTTGAGTAAAGAAAGAATCAGCTTTTCCAGTTTGTACATCTGAGTTTAAATGCATGTATGTCTACTAGATTTTGAATTGCACCACTTTTGAAATCTGGTATCTCTTTTCACATCTACTATGCACAAATACACGACTTGGACAAAATACTTGGTCACCTACACACAACACCTACTAGAGCTGCTCGCCCATGGAAACCCATGCCTAGCTAGAGGCACATTAGTTTCTGTGATGTTATTACTGGCAGAGGAGGCTAGGAGCTCTGCAGTTACTGGGTCATCAGAGCGTGTCGTGCCCTTTAAGCACTTGATGATCCTGGTCTGTGACGTTAATTGGTCTGCCGCATTTTCATAAACCCCTCCAATTGAAGCTCAAAGTCTGCGCTTCAATCACATATTGACTGATTGAAAATTCACTGTTGTGGTGTACAGAGGCAAAGCTACAGAAATTATGTGCTTGTCAAACAAATTACAAATGCAGCTTTTTGTCTTCCTGCTGATGTGCGCGCACATACTGTGAAGAGCACTATCACAGTCTATGTCTTTGTAGGTACTTTGGTAAAAACAAATTTGGCTTGTATATCTGTCACAACATCTCATTCCGCACTACAACAGCATAGCTTTCTAACAACATCGTACTATGCGAACATCATGTTTTAAATTAGTAGATAAACCTTAACAGCTCTTCTCCTATGGATGTGTGTTGGCCAAAGTAAAGCTGATTAAATCTGACCCTGTGTTACTCTGTTTGCGATCTACTCTACGACATCTTGCTTGGATGCTCTTCTTTTAATTTCCTAGAATAAATGAAACAAAATTAAAATGTATGTTTGTAGATGTGAAAAATAATTATTTGGTCACAACAGTCACTCTGTTGCTGGTTGGCAAAATTCACAAAGGTCCAGCAGTAACAAATCCTCTCTCTTATTAACAAAGGCACAGATCTTTAGGAAAATGCTATTCGTTACTGTCAGTGGCATGTTATTACAACTGACATCTTCCTACAAATACCATTTCCCATTAATAATCGTTAATACCATATCAGGATTAAAGATTTACAAAAGTTCACTAATGATCAAAACTTTCATTATGTGGATCAAATATGTGGAATTTCTGGAATAAAAAACTGAGGGGTTTGTTGCTACTGTGAGACTTTTGGTTTTCTTTAATCATTGTTAAAAAAAATTGGAAAAAAATATGGAAAGAACAACAATAACAATAGGGTTTTATTTAGAAAATTAGATATTTCTAAGTGTATTCTTCAGTTTTTATATGGCTTTTATTTTGAAAATCTCACAATCGGAGCATCTTGATAACTTCAAATAAATAATTGGCAGCTATAATTATCAAAACTGACATTTTCAAGCATGCTGGTTTTTTTCAAAACAAATTATTATTATTTAAAAATTATTAAATAATTCAGAAAGAGTAAAACACATGCACAAGGTGTCTGAACTGTGTCTCTATGACAAAAGATGTAGAGCAGGGGTAGGCAACCTTTCTGATGACGAATGCCGTCTAAAATTTCCTCAGAAGTCAGTGTGCCATATGATTGCATTAGCAATGAATCTAATAAGGCTCTATATTAACAGTTACACACTATATAGAACCACTTTATAGAATTATATTTGTTCGCAGATGTTGGCAGCTATCAGCGAATAGTTATCAGCTATTTTGAAACAAAAAAAGGACACTTTTTACCCATAACAAGAACTCCATAACAGCAAATGAACTGTACAACAGAAAATACAGATGCTATTTCCTCACAGCAATGATAAGAAAAATAAACTGAGCCAATATTAGATATGTTTGTTAATACACATGTTAATGTGATCTCTGGTCTCCCACTCAGAGACACAGGTCTCCAAGTGTCCAGCATTCAGACGGCTACCTGAGGACACTCTTCATGTGAGAGAAAATCTGTTCACACAGATATGTAGAGCCAAGTACTGTCAATAAGGCCTCTGCAATGTTCTGAAGACAGTTAAACTTGTCAGGTAGTGATGTCCAGCAGGTGGAAATGCAGCTCCATGAACACACACAGCTGTGGATTCCAGCTGCTTCGATGTTGCATTAGGTGGCATTAATTCAGCCAGTTAATGCGAGACAAATCTAGCTGCTCAAAGATTTCTGGTTTGATCAGAAAATAAAACATTGGTCCA